TTTATTTTTTCTCTCTGTGGCTGTAAAGTTAATATTTTGGAAAACTGATATATCAACAATCAAACACCAAGACTTTGAAAGCAAAGCAGTCTTTCACAAGTTGAAACATAACTGTTGAGTAAGTAGTAGCAAGAAAATATTTTCTCCGTAACAGTGTAGAATGAGATGAATAAAATCATGTTTACCAGACTTTATTTTTGTTAAAGCATTAAATTTGTCTGGAAAGAATGTTTTCTGTAAGAGTGTGTGTGTGTGTGTGTGTGTGTGTGTGTGTGTGTATCTTAGTGATAGTAAATAAAAAACAATTTAATACTTTGAAGGATGTCATGAAAAACATTCTTTGATTTCTTTCCTGTTGAGCAACAACTATATTTGACTGTAAGAATATGTTTACTTGATTATATAGTTTGCTTTGTCTCTATAACTTTAATTAGCTCATGTAAAATTGGTAAATAGTGTAATGATATCAGTATGATGTGGAATTTACAATTGTTATATACCTTTCTTTGAACATGGTATCATTTTGCACCACCACGTAACAGTAGCTGAGCGCAAACTGTACAACATAAACGTGGAAAGATATAAGCTACTAATATATACTGTATCACAATATCTATTTTTTACCAAGTTCATTTGGCCAGGTTTTCTGTCTTAGAAATGTTGTTTTGTCAAGTTTCTCCTTATCTTTGTTAATTTAAGCGCTGGAAAATCACTCTTACACACATTTTCATGACCCTTTATTCCCCCTTTTTTAAAGAAGGCACAACTGTATTTTCTGTTGAATTTTTTATTAGAAACATATCTTAATAGTACTGGTATTTTTATTATGACTATTGCTGGTTTTGTTAGTGATTGCAATAGAGAGTTGTAAAGATTTTAACTAATCTTTCCATAACTTTATGTTTTCATAACCCTGTATTTTCATAGTGTTATTTTTTCAGAAATGGTGTCTCATGCATATATCATGTTTTAGCAGAAAAGCTTTCATCTGTACAAATGACTAAAAGGTTTGATGTTGCTTTAAAACTATAATTTAATAGTGTATTTAATATGTTTTTAATAATTTTTTTGGAATTTGACATGTTATTACATTTATTCCTCACAATGTCCTAAATAGATATACTTTTATAAACCTTCATTTATTTTTGTTTTTATTGTTTTTTTCACAGATGAGAACACTAATATTTATGAAAGTAATTTACTTAAGATTAATAAAACAACAACAGACTATAATCTCAGATTTTAAACACAGTGAATGTGTGCACAGACTTTGGCAGTTATTCAGCAATAAAACACCTCTTCAGAAAGGGAAAGAATTATAAGTAACAGTTTCACATTTAACTAAAATCACAGTAAATATAAATATAAATACTTTCATGCACACACACACACACACACACACACACACAAAACCAATTCTTCCATAAGAGGCCATGTATTTATTTGAATCTTACAAAACCACATCACACATGCTTCTGTGTCATGCAGTCTTCTAATCACTGCATCAAAATAATCCAGAGTACCTGTTCTCATGGAGATTTCACAACAGTAATGAGAAACAGACACTAACAATCTTAATAGACGTAAGTAATTTCAGATAAAAAGACCAAAACAGGGAATTGGGGAAAACAATAACAAGGAGAAAATACTAGGATCTGCTCCATCTGGTAGTATTTTATGAGATTTTTGGGGTGTTGCTTCTCTGGCTGGAAACCTTTGCTTGAGTTTTGCTTGGGCCTGCTGGGCTCATTCTGCCCACTTGGCTTGGCAGGCTGCACTCAGTTCATGCTACTGTCCTGGATCCCACGACTCCAAGGGAAACTGAAGTCAGGTGTGGAGTGACAGGAGTCTGTGAATGATCAGGCCACTGCACAGTCAGACATACTGGCTCCTGCCACAGAGTGGGCACCTCCAGGTGCCAGAATTGATGTTAGCTCTCTGTGAGGCTGCAGACAGACCAGGAACACCACAAGCTGCTTCCCCTGATGTAACCAGGGAATGCTGGGGCACCCAGAAGCTTAGAAATGCCAGGAACTGCAGAGCCCCAAAGAGGGAGTCACAGCCCTGGCTCTGGAAGCTCCCAGGTCTGGGATTCCTGAAGGGCTGCAGCTTTTCTCTCCTCTTCACCTGCAATGTACTAAGCAAGGGGTATGTTTTAGCCTCATTTTTTTTTTTTTCTTTTTTTGAGACGGAGTTTCACTCTTGTCACCCAGGCTAGAGTGCAATGATGCAATCTCTGTTCACTGAATCCTCCACCTCCACCTCCCAGGTTCAAGTGATTCTTATAATATAAGTTCATATTATAATATTACTGTCATGTTTTTGGAATCTTCTCATTGAAATTCTAATAGCATTCAACTAATGGTGGTGTCAAGTTGTAATACTTCCAGGACACCTGTCCCTAAAATATAACCCACTGGAGAAGCATCCATTCAATATACATAACATAGCTTAAAACCCTCAAGAAGGTAAACTTACAATTTAAATTTTAAAAATCATATAAGAACGAATCCACCATCAGAAAGTGTCAAGGGACATGATAAATAATAAGATTAACTCCAGAGAACCTTAGAAATATGGAATCTCATAGGAAGTCAGCTAAATCACTTACATATGATTGGAAGATTTAAAATCAAGAATCAAAAATATAAGAAAAACATAATACTGCAAATACCTATTGGCTTTTTTGAGAAATGATCAAATAAAACTGATTGAAATAAAGCATTTTATCCCTTATGATTAAAATGTAATGGAATGATAGTGTAGCAATACAAAAGAAATGGAAAAACTAGTCAGTTAAAGGTTGAGCCTGAGGAAACTACTCAGAAAAAAGAAAGGTAAAGGAATTAAGAAAATGTGAAATATAGATTAAAAGAAATAAGGACCAAAATTAAATGATATAACATATGTTCGCAGGCATCCACAAAAATAAGCAAAAAAGTCCATTAATTGCAATGACAAACTATATACAGTACTGTAAAATAGTACAGCAGAATCCTCAGTTTTCCTTCATAAAATAGAATAAGAATTGTATGTATCATTCTGTGGGCTTTTGACATTCATTATACTATATATTATCTTTCAAATATTTGTTCTTTAAAAAGTGCTAATAATTGAGTATATTAATTTGACTTTTCATATCATGACCTTATTTGGGATATTTATTTATTATTATTGTAAATGCATTGAAAGGTTGTAATCAAAGCAATATAACTTTTAACCAAATAAAATTACTTGGCTATGGAAAGTCATGAAGCTAATTACCCCCAACAGCACCTATCAGGTGTGTTTTATGTTTTGATTTATTATTTTTAGGAAAAGAACATATTTACTAGATAGTTAAATTTCCTTCAGTGTATGCATTTACAGTACTCACACCTAATAGACTTGAGAAGGCAAACATTACAACTTAATCTTAAAATTACCCACATAAATTTTTCATCTGACTTTCCTTTTTTCTTTCAACTAGTTATAAATTACCTATTAATAAAGGTTCTGTCCATGGTTTCTCATTTCCATGAAGTATTCTCATGTCTTTCTAATCCTGAGTTATCTTTGCTTTCTCTCATGTATTGTTTTTGGAAAAAGAAAAAAAAGAATAGAAGGGGAAGAAGAAGAAAAAGGAGAAGAAGATGGAGGAGGAGAAAAAAATTGTGAAACATTTCTTTAAAAATACTGTTTTTAAAAATTTATTACATATTTGGTAAATCGGTTTAAATTTTAATCTCAAAGTTAAGAATCAAATTTTTAAAGAAGACTTTAAAATGATGATATATAATTTATTTAAAGATAAAAAATATTCCGTTTTTATTGCATTTTGGGTTTTGGGGTACATGTGAAGAATATGCAAGATAGTTGCATAGGTACACATGTGGCAGTGTGATTTGCTGCCTTCCTCCCCTTCACCTATATCTGGCATTTCTCCCCATGCTGTCTCTCCCTAACTCCCCACCCCCTGCTGTCCCTCCCCTGTTCCCCCCAACAGACCCCAGTGTGTAGTGCTCTCCTCCCTGTGTCCATGTGTTCTCACTGTCCAGCACCCGCCTATGAGTGAGAATATGCGGTATTTCATTTTCTGTTCTTGTGTCAGTTTTCTGAGAATGATGGTCTCCAGATTCATCCATGTCCCTACAAAAGACACAAACTCATCGTTTTGATTGCTGCATAATATTCCATGGTGTATATGTGCCACATTTTCCCTGTCCAGTCTATCATCGATGGGCATTTGGGTTGATTCCAGGTCTTTGCTATTGTAAACAGTGCTGCAATGAACATTCGTGTGCATGTGTCCTTATAGTAGAACAATTTATAGTTCTTTGGATATATACCCAGTAATGGGATTGCTGGATCAAAAAATTATATTCTTATAATTGTGAATCAACTCTTTATTATAAAAGTGTATAATAAATATGATTTGATTTTTCTGTGCAGATAGAGTTATTTAGTGGTCTCTTTATTCCTAAAGGCAGTATAAAAAGAAAACTTCAAGTGATGTTTCTGTTATGACCAATTAACTCATAATATTAAAAGTCAATGATACATGTGATTCTGATAGACATCTTAGTATTTACTCTTAATAGGAAAAATAACACAATTTCAGGTGCAAATATTAGATAAATTTTAAATCAGATTGAAGTCCTCAATTTTAAATGAAATATGTTCAAGTTTTTTATTGATGAAAAATTTACATAAACTGAAGTGCACAAGTCATAGGTCATACTACTTGATGCATGCCCAATGCTGAATGCACCTATGTAACAAGTCCCCATCAAAAAGCAGAATTTATCACTTTTAAAGCTTTCCTCATGCTTTCTTTCAGTCACTATCTATCATTGCTGGGCAGCACCCTACAAAAGGTAACCACTATTTCTACTTCTGACACTACATAACCCATTTTATTTACTTCCTGAGATCTAATCTGTATTCCCATGGAAACAGTTTGTTTCATAAGCTATGTTTACCCTTTTGCTGACAAGTAAATGTTATTTTTCATTGAATAGGTCCAAAGTGGTACCCTTCCCGAGTTGGTGTGCAGCTAGAATGTGGTAAGAAGCATTTTTCACTGATGCATTTATTTAATTTAGAATCCCTTTTCTATTTTCAGTAGCTGACATTTACTTATCATGTAGTAAATATTTTAAATATTAGTACTATTTAATTGATCCTCCCAACAAACCAGTGCTCCACTTTATAAATAAAAAATTTAGTGTCAAAAAGGTATATTTTACGTATTCACTGTCCATGAGTTTTAGAAGCAGATTCTGAACCAAAATATTTCTGTCTGTTAAGCTTTAACCAGTCACATTCTAATTCTACTGTCCCATAATATATTTTTAAGGCTAATGCTTAGTGTTTCACTTATTTTATTTTATTTTTATTTTTGCTGTCATAAAACAGAATAAGTGAGATAAGGAACAAAAACTAAAGAATTTGGAGGAGAAGCATTATATTCACTGTTAAACCTCAAATTTTTCAGAATTTTAAACCCTTTGATCTCAAGAAATTTATCAATATATTCACTTAAAAATGGCTCTTACAAAGAATTACTGTTATTAACATTGCATCAACTTGAAAATTTGGAATTTTTAATTTTAATGAAAGCTATTGGTAGCATGTAGTTTTTTTTTTTTTTTTTAAATCATGATACAGTGGGGGTAATTAGCAAACCCCTTTAATAGTAAATCTATAATAGGTAACTAGTAGGGAATTTCAATCTCTCAATTTTTCATAAATGATTAATTGAACTTTTTTCTATTCCTCTTGCTAATATTTAGGTTGTCCTCTCTCAGATATTGCATGCACTTAAAGACAAATAATAATTTCTTTGAGTCTCTAAAATTTGTTATGAGTGTTTTCATTGCTGTCTTAATCATTGAATCTTTCTCTGAGACCTACATGTTAGAAACAAAGAAATATGCAAGATTTCTAGAAGCCACAGGTTTTTTTTTTTTTTTTTTTACTCTCTCAAATTCATTTTTCCTCAAATATTCAAGACAAATTCCCACCTACCCAGAGTCTAGGGAAAAAATTATTGTCTCATTTATTTATGCCTTGGTAAGGTCTGGCACATGTCAGCATATAAAGGCCTTTCAATTCATGAATGGTGACATATATGAAATGAAATTGACTCTTACACAAAGAAGTCTCAAAGAATGTGACAGACAACATTGTCAAGTGTAACTTCCTCTTGAGGGACACTCTAATGGACTGATAAATTTCTGTTAGTTCAGTGTTCTGGTGGAGAAGCATTATACGCACTGTTAAATCTCAAGTTTCTCAGCATTTTAAACCCTATGATGTCAAGAAATTTGGTGAATTGACATGTTACTTTTATTCTAAATTTACTTACCTGGTTGAGTGTACCAAGGTCGAGTATGAGATGAGTAAAATATAGGTGTCTAAGTGTCCTTAAAAAGGAATGTGATGGGTCAGGTGCAGTGGTTCAAGCCTCTAATCCCAGCACATTGGGAGGCTGAGTCCAGTGGGTCATGAGGTGAGGAGTTTGAAATCAGCCTGGCTAACACAGTGAAACCTTGTCTCTACTAAAAATACAAAAGTTAGCCAGGTGTGGTGGCGTGAGCCTACTTGGGAGGTTGAGGCAGGAAAATCGCTTGAACCCGGGAGGTGGAGGTTGCAGTGAGCCTAGACGGCACCAGTGCACTCCAGCCTGGGTGACAGTGAGACTCCATCTCAAAAAAAAAAAAAAAAAGATGTAATGATGTATTTTTTTTAAAAAAAAGAAAACAATCAATTGATTTGTTGATATGGTGCAAAGAAATCAAAATATGAAGTTTACCTGAATTGATTCAGAATTTTACATTTAATTGACTCTCATACTTACTTGCCTACAGGGTCTTCTTTTATATGACAGAGCTAAAAAAACATATTGAATCATTTTTAAAGTGTTAGATTATGTTTATAATGTGTATGATGATTGGCACATGCTAGTTACTCCATCCATCAGTCATAATTATTAGTATTAAGAAGAAAAAAAGACAATACCAAAACAAAGCAGGGTCTTAATATTTATAAACATTTGCTCCCAAAATATGTTTACTAGAATTGTAAATCTTATACGAATATTATTGACTTCTATAGTTTCCTCAAACAATGGAAATCTCTAAAACACAAATAAAATAGCAACCATTGATTTTCATGGGAAAAAAATTAACCAGTTTTTTAGCTCTGTGTCTCTGCTGAGCTGTGCTATATTTAACTGAACTTGGCTAGGATCATGCATGCAGCTGCAGTCAGCTGCTGGACTGTTAGGGAATGATTAGTCTATAATGACCACAACTTACATGAAATTCCCTTGGTTCTGTGTGGTTCGTCACTCCTTAGCAAAATAGTCTGGACTTACTCACAAGTTGGAAGTAGAGGTATAAAAATGAGCAGAGGTACTGAAGAATTGTTGAAGTCCAGGCTTGGAACTGGCAAATGATCACTTGTCCCACCAGTCACTAGTTAGTCTATATTCAAGGAGTGGGTATATAAGGCCAGCTCTAAATAGGAAGAACTACAAGGCCATACTGTAGATACTCTAGATGTGGAATTAGTGATGAATTTCAGCTATTTTTACAATAAATCTGTTATATAATATGGTAAGTAAAGTATTTTCTATCTTTCTACCTTTATTAAGATGCTTTATAATGTTCTGGAAGGTAAAATTTCTAATGCTTAAAATCATTGTATTTCTACGTAGAAAAAATAGGATTTTTTTTTTCATCACTGTTTCCGAGCAATACATCAAAGCTCCCTCCACATCCTTTATACAATAGTCTTGACAAACCACTAGGTTTGATATTGGTTGTGTATCCAGTGCCTGGCCCATACTTGCGGGGGAACATCCAGAGACCAGATTGTGCTTGTGTTAATTTGGGCAGAAAATTCAAGGCCTTTAAGTGGATGAAACATGATCTAGAAAGATATGGCATGGAATCTAGTTAGGCATGTCCTGTCTTCTTGGCCCCACATATTCCTCTCCCTTTGATAAAGGACATAATCATGAGAAGCCAAGGAGTCCCTGTTTCTTGAGACTTAGTGCTATAATTAATGGTACATCTGGATTTTGTCAGATTCTGTTTCCAAAATGTCATATTGATGGGACCACATTTTAAAAATAGAATGCCAATGCTTTGTTCTTTGAAGCTGGCAAGGATGATAGAAGGGTAGAAACTAATTCCTTTTTAAAGGGTGATGATAGATGTATATTGGAAACGTATTTTCAGCATACTTCAAGTGATACAAAGTCAGCTGAATTTTTTGACCTTATTAACATTTCCTTGTTCTTATACACAATTATCATAATACTACTGACCTTCTGGATGTCAAAGTCTTCACTTTGATACATGTTGCAACAGTTTTCTATTGCTATGTAACAAATGCACACAAATTTAGCAGTACAAAAAATGATCATTTATTAAATTGAAGCCATATTATGATTGGATTCTCTGATTAGGATTTTATAAGACTGGAATCAGAGTGTTGACTGAACTGAATTCTCATGTGAAGACTCTTGACAGAAACCACTTGTGTTTTCGGAAAAGTTTGCATTTTATGTTTGTTTGTTCTTTGGAGTTGAGTAAGAGAAGTCCCTGTGTTCTTGCTGGCTGTTAGTTCCTAAAGGCTGCTGTCTTTTCTCAAAGGCCACTTGTATATTTGACATTGAGCAAGCCAGCAATAGCACAGTGAATCTTTCCAATAAACTAAATATCTAAATTCCTCTGTCCCTGATTACTACACACAGATTGTAAAAATTCACGCAATAAAATTCAGGGCTACCTAGAGGATCTTATTTTTTTTTAAGCCATGCAAAATAACTTAATCAACAAAGCAACAGCCTATCATATGCAGAACCTCAGGGATTACACAGAGGACAGAAATCTTGGGAATTATCTAAGAAAACTGCCTACCTCACATGTGTTCGTAGGTAAATACATTCACATTTCCAAGCAATGCCAAATTATCTTTATATGTAATTATATATATATATATATATATATATATGTATTTTACAAATACTAATCAATTTATATGAAATTTCTAAAATATAATCATGAAACGGTGGCCATTAAGGTATCCAGAGAACCGTATAAATATAACCACCTAAATCATCTGGCTATTAAAAGCAGATTTATCAAGTTACTGCCTTCAAATGTAATATACAATTGTATATTTTTCATTTCACTTTAAAAAAACCTTTAATTATAAATATAAATAGATATTTTGGATTCCAAAAAGTCATCTAATGGTAGATACATATTAACATTTTCTTATTTATTTCAAAAATAGAGACTGGAATGATGCCTTTTAACTGCATAGATAATATAAATCACAAAGCATGCTAAGTATAACAATAATAATAACAATCATAGGGTCATATTTGAGGGATTAATCCATTTTGGTATATGAGCTCTAGTCTACTCATTTTCTTCCTGCTTTGTATACATTAGTTTAAATAAAACAAAATATATTTATGTTTCAGATGGTTAAAAAATATTTAAGTTTTCTTCAAGTATTTTATTATAAATGCTATAAAAGGACCTTTGTTTACATATCTTCCCATATATACATTCCAGACTTGTCTTATGGTTATTTTTAAGAATGGAATCCATTCTGTCTATTTTACATCTATTTTATGAGCAGCTCCTTTCAGGAACCATTGCTATATCTTTGTCTTACTATGTCTAAGGCCTGTAATACTAGAGACCTCAGTGTGTTTTCATTCCCTTCTTTCTAAGCTGAATACATAAACAATCCCATCAAGCCCCATGGTTTTAAATGTTAATGACTTTCAAATATTTACACACACTTCTAGCCAGCTGCCTATTTGTCCATTCTTTCTTGAATATCTAAGATATACCACACACTTAATACACCTTAAGGACTCTTAATTTTCACCACGAAATCCTGCTTTTCTGTAGTCTTCTTCATGTCAGTTAATGAGAATACAATGCACTTAAGTACTCAGGCCAAAATCTGTCTTCATCTCACTGAATCCTCTTCGCTCAATCAGTTTCTTAACAAATTGATTTAGGCTACATTCAAAATATGTCTACAATTCATACATTTTAACATTTTCACCAGTGCAACCTTAATCTAAACAAACATCAGCTCCAGCTGGATTAATTTTAAGTGTCTCCTAAACAATCACCTTGTTTCCCTTTTTTCTATTTTTCACACAGCATCGAGAATATATTTTTAAAAGATAAATTATGGCATTCTTCTAGTGCTTTAGAGGGACCATCCATCTATCCACCAATAACTTATCCTATTATAAAATCATTTAGAAATTAGTTGAGATGCAGTCCTACTAACACTAAAAATTATACTTTTTGTTGTTTTGTTTTGTTTTCATTTTGAGACAGGGTCTCACTTTGTGGCCTATACTGGAGCTCAATGGTGTGACCACAGTTCACTGCACCATTGACCTCTGTCGCTCAAGCAATCCTCCCATCTAAACTTCCTGAATTGCTGGGCCTGCATGCATGCACTAACATGCCTGGCTAATTTTTTTTTCTATTTTTTGTAGAGACAGTTTTGCCTTGTCACTTCCTGAGCTCAAGTGATCCACTCAAAAATTGCTGAGATTACTGATGTGACCCATCACATTCATCCTAAAATTTTACTTTAAAAAAAAAATTCTGTATCTTATCTGTTTAGGTGCTAAGAAATAATTCTCAGAAATAATAGGATAGTAACTAATGGTGGTCTAAACTTTGGTTAGATGCTATTAGGAAACCACTGTGCATTTGAAAAGTTGCCAGACATATGTTATAAAATGGGATTTTTCACATTTTGTTTTACTTTAAAGATTTCTTGTATATTGTAATTTTCATATTAAATTGATCCTTAGCTTTTATTGATTTTACATTAAGAAATTCATCATCGTCATGCTTTAAAATTCTATTAAAGTAACATTTTCTTATTTTTATTTTAAGGCGGGCCTTTTTTGAAGGACCACATTACCATTCAAAGTATTGCAGCTTCCTCCATTGTCACACTGTATGTTACAGACCTAGGTCAACAAGTCAGTTGGACCACAGTAAGTGTCAATTTAGAATATAGCATGCATGCCTCACATTTTGCTCTAAATAATTCACTGACAGCCTATTTCTGCCAAATAAAATCATAGTAAAACAAAATGTAGTGAATGGTATTTTTTATTTTCTATTCTTACTATGACAAGTGGCCAAAGTTCTACTTACGTATTGGAGAAATAGAAAACCACAGTTTTCAGAAAATGAAACACCGCATATTCTCACTCATAGGCAGGTGATGAAAAATGAGAACACATGGACACAGGGAGGGGAGTACTAAACACTGGGGTCTATTGGGGGGAAAAGGGGAGGGCCAGTGGGAGGGGGAGGTAGGGAGGGATAGCCTGGGGAGAAATGCCAAATGTGGGTGAAGGGGAGAAAGGAAGCAAAGCACACTGCCATGTGTGTACCTACGCAACTGTCTTGCATGTTCTGCTCATGTACCCCAAAACCTAAAATGCAATAAAAAATAAAATAAATAAATAAATAAATAAAAAGAAAACCACAGTTTTGAAAAAAGAAGATAAGTTCCTTTTTAAAATATCAATCCACTCTATGACTGGGAGCTTCAACTCTGTTACCAAAATACCAGTCTAGGTGCTGCTGCTCACTAGAAAGCCAATGACTGTAATGACATGTATTGCCAAGGAAGAAGGCTTCGACTGGGTGCTGAAGCCAAGGAGATGGAAGCTCATTCTCAAATCCATCTCCCTGACTAAAACTAGGGGTTTATATGGCAGGGAATAAATGGAACAATGTGTAAGAAAACAGGTGCTAGGGAGGGACAAGGAGGCATCTGGTGGGGTGATATGATGAGTTTCAGTTCTTTGATACTTTTTTGAGAGGGCTGAAGGTTCTTTCCTGACAAATGAACTTAAGTAACACAAATATAAGTTTCAAATTTTAGCAGTAGAAGGATCAATTTCTACATTTATCCCAAAGCAACTATCTGCTGGACTATTGGGCTGGTTTCATCTGCTTTCCCTGTGCTTTGTTATTCACATGGTATCTTTTTACTTTTCCTTCTAGTCATCTAGGGACATCATAGACCCTTTTGACAATGGAGAGAAGAGTGCAGAATATCTGTTAAAAACGAGGCAGAGAAACAAACTTTTGGTAACAGACCATGAGAAAGTAAACCTTTTTCAGTCTGTGAAAATGTTCTTGTGGCTCCTTTTGGAGGAAAATAACAGATCCTAAAATGATGGTATCTGAAAATGGCATTAGAAGAATGAGGACTACATAAAAAGACATGGAGGGTTGGTTAAGAGGCAGTGAAAATACTTGGTACTGGTACACAGTACTGAAACACTCGTGGGTAATAGAATAAATCAGTGGAATAGCTTCAGCAGCAAGAGGAAATGTTAATATGATATTTAGTAACAGAGTCAGTGAAAGAATTAAATTGTTTTGATATACAAAGAATGGTGAGCTTCATTTGTTTTAATTGCATTAAACTTCTGTTATGTGTATTGTTTAAACTATGAAAGCTTTTTCTTTGCTGTTACATTCTACTTCATATTTGTGATTACTTTTAATATTTTCTATTCAGAATGGTGTTTCTTTTTGCCAGAATTAACAATCAGCATTACATTACCATTCATAGTGATTTGAGCCATTTCTTTAAAATTAAGCAATTAATTTTGTAACTATTACAAAAGTATGACAATTTATATATTAGTATTCAATTTTTAAGTGTAATCTAACAAAATTTAATTTTAAATGTATTAATTAAAATATTGCCACATTTGTTAATATTTTCTAACACTCTTTCGTTGTAAGATATATTTCCTGGCCAGGCACGATCGCTTATGCCTGTAATCCCAGCACTTTAGGAGGCCAAGGTGGGTGGATCACCTGAGGTCACGAGTGGAGACCAGCCTAACCAACATAAAGAAAGCCTGTCTCTACTAATAATACACAATTAGCCTGGTGTGGTGGGTCATGCCTATAATCCCAGCTACTCAGGAGGCTGAGGCATGAGAATTGCTTGAATCCAGGAGCAAGAGGTTGCAGGAGCAGGGATCATGCCGCTGCACTCCAGCCTGGAAAACAAGGCAATAAGAGTGAAACTTCATCTCAAAAAAAAAAAAAAATATATATATATATATATATATATATTTCTTGTGTAATAACTGTGTAATTAATTAGTTCTATTTTATGTTTTCATTAAATAGTTTATTTAATTTCCAAAGTATATTGAGCTTTTGAGTACTAATTTGTAGAACTGAAGATTGAGTTTAGAATCTTATGTATTCTTATGAAGCATATTTTAATATTTAGAAAACAACCTGTAGAAGATACATGCATTCGGCAAATTAAGTTTTTAATACTGTACTTAAATGTGTTGTCTAGAGATCTTTGCTTAAACAGATTTTAGAAATGCATATTTGGTCTTCAAAGGTTAAAATATTCACAGGATCTTTGTCCACATTTACAACAAAAAGGGAAGTCTGTTTACAGAAATTGTGTAAGAATTAGCTGTATTAAATAATTATGAAGTTCAGCTTCATCACTTGGATAAGCATTGAGACGACAACACACTAAAGTGGAGTTATTTGACAATTGCACTAGAAAATTATAGCTCATTTGAGAGGAAAATCATCTTTATGACAAAGAGAACTCTGCAAAGAGGCTGGATATTTTTAAATCAACCCTATGGTTCACATATCCTTTTCCTCCAAATGAGTCAGTTCTATTAAATACTAAAAATATAAACATTACATTGCAATCACACTCATTTTGTATCAACTAAATTATACAGCAAAGGTGATATTTTACCACATATGATATTCTTGTACATTGAGAAATATAAAAATCAGTTCCTCAGCCGGGCGTGGTGGCTCAAGCCTGTAATCCCAGCACTTTGGGAGGCCGAGGTGGGTGGATCACGAGGTCAAGAGATCGAGACCATCCTGGTCAACATGGTGAAACCCGTCTCTACTAAAAATACAAAATATTAGCTGCGCGTGGTGGTGTGTGCCTGTAATCCCAGCTACTCAGGAGGCTCACGCAGGAGAATTCCCTGAACCCAGGAGGCGGAGGTTGCGGTGAGCCGAGATAGCACCATTGCTCTCCATCCTGGGTAACAAGAATGAAACTCCGTATAAAAAAAAAAAAAAAAAAAAAAAAAAAATCATCTCCTATAATAAAGCATTTCATAGTGTTGTGGAGGTCATTAATTTAGCAAGGTTAAAATTGAGATTTCAATATTTTTCTCCAACAAACAGTGTGTTACAAAATATTGAAAGAATTTTTAACCTGCAAAAATTTAGGATAAAGGATTAATATGATAACATAATCCTCATTATATGTTATATGTTAAAGTTTTGCAGTTTTCGCCATTTTTATATTAATTCTTGTGTGTATGTGTTAATGCGTAATTTTATGTAATTTCTCCCTTGTTTAAGTTCCTGTATATACCAATAATGTCAATAGAGAATTGCTTCATCCTTAAGAGGAACTTCATGTTATCCTTGTATACTTACATACACTTTTTCCCACCCTGGAGTAACCACTGATATGTTCTTCATCTCCCGATTTTTGTCATGTGGAGAATGCTCTATAAAAGGATTCAAACAATATTTTGAGATTGATGTTTACTTTTCTGTAAAGAGTTTCCTTGAAATCCATCCTCATTCTTGTATCAATAATTGGTTCCTTTATATTGGTGACTGATACTCAGTTATAGGGATGTAATGAAATTTGTTTAACCATTTACTCTTTAAATTGCATTTGGGTGACTTTTTAGTACGTGGCTATTATAAATAAAGCTGCAGTGAACATATGTGTAGGGGTATTTTTGCCTGAACTTTTAGAAAAATTTATCTTGGACATAGTGTTGAGTTTTAAGTATTCTTTATATAATTTAGATTCGAGTCCTTGTGTATGTCGTTTAAAAATACTTTTTCTCAGTCTTTAACTTGTCTTTTCATGATCTTAACAGAACTTCTCACTGCAAGAAGCGTTTTCAATTTTAACGCAGTTTAATTTATCAAGGGATTCTTTTAAATATTATGCTTTTGCTTTTGTATATAAGAATCCTTCAACTTAATTCTAGGTCCTGGAATTTCTCTCCTGTGTTTTCTTATGAGAGTTTTATGTTTTGCATTTTCATGATAGTCTATTTTATTGTAAAGTCCAAATTTTTAATCTCTAAATCTTATTTTCTTTAATTTGTCTCATGTATTCTATACATTATTGGGTCCAAATCGTTTTGATCCAATCAATGATTGAAACGATTTTAGGATGAACTTCAGAATCTGTAGAGATAGTTTTGTAAGGCCAACTTCATCCTTTATGGATGATGAACAACAGCTTTTGTTTGTTCATTCCTAGGCCTCATCAAAAGTCTGCTCTTCTTATCAGGCTCATATGGGGCTTCATATGCAAGGTTCAATCTCTTCCCTAGAATTGCCGTTTTAAAATTCTCAACCTTCTAATTCCTCAATGACATTTTATTTCTGATCGCTGAAAAAACTTTTTAAAAAATATTTTGATCAGTTTTTCTGACTAAACTCATTAGTTTTCTGTGTTTGAGTTACCTAAAATAGAAATCTCCATCATATGTTATTTGACAAACTACAAACACACACGATCTTTCTGTAGCATGATACTAACTTCAAAAGTACAAAGTGATATTTCTGTATTACAACTGAGAAATGCTTCCAGATAACACCCTTATCTTCAGGAGATTAAGGTTAAAACTACTTTGTTTTCAGAAATTTTGAAATACACATTTTTTAACTGCCAATAGCAATTTTAGAAAAAGAGATAGTAAATCCAGTGACACCATAATAATGATAGCATTAATTTTTTTCAAGATAGAATGAAATGCATTAAGCACAGTTTAAGCACATGGTTCCTTACCAATTCAAAATTGCAGTTTCATGTTTCAGTGTATTTTTCTAAGCAGATTATTCCTTTTTTCAATTTATACATATATTACATTGCAGATTCCACTGAAGTTTCGAAGACTCCTAAACTCCTTACTTGCCTAGTAGAAGTAATAAATTTTTTGGTATTCAAAACAAAAGATTAGTCTAACACACATAACTTTTTAGAAAGAGGAAATATAAATATATTTAATAATAGAAATAAGTTGGAATTTCAATATAGTGTTTATCTTCAAAATAAGAAAAAAGAAGGTGTATGTGCCTCTTTAGAATATAGAATCTTCAGTAGAATTTTGTATTATAAGGGAGTTTCTAGTCTTTGTAAGTTCTTGTGTTGGACTTGGTCTGTATATCTTTATATATGTTTACTTGATTGCACTTGATTTTGATTTTGTTTTACTTCCCCTTATTTAGTAGAAAAGACCAATTGCATTTTCAGAAGAATGTATTAATATTTGTCTATCTAGCCCTACTTTTCCTTATCTTGAACTATTTTCTGAATACTTTCTAGGTTTAATAAAACATCTTTTCTCCTTTCTTCTGTTTGTACTAAAATAATTTTTTTCAAATTCGTTGTTCAAAAGTTATTTATCACCATCTAGTACTTTCAGGACGTATTATTCATAACCTGGTACTTTTTTTTACTCTCCATATTCTAGCATAAAAGTATTCCTTATAAAATAAAAGGCTTCCTAAAACATATTTCTATATAATAGTAGGCTTTCTGAATTTTGTTTGAAGATTGAGCTAAGATTATAGTTTAATATCCTCTCATCCAAAGAAACTTCAGATCTGTGTTAGTGCTTTTATTAAATTAATAAAGAGTGACACTTGGTCCAAGATAACTATTGTTCACAACATTTTATATTCCTAACATGTTCTTAGAGAATTTGCTCAAATTTGACTTCACTAGATCAATTGGTGTCAAAATAACTATTTTAAACGTTTTATTGTACTAAAACAATTACCCTCATCATTATTCTGAATTTTTGACATTCTGTCATTAGATATTCACAAGTGGTAAACATTTTCTTTATATCTAAATAATGAGGCATTTTGTAACACATAAATTACTCCAGTCTCTCAAATGAGACTGCTTTTACAATTAATTGATCAGAATTTGCATTGTTTTTGCTTCTCACACGCAAGTCTTTCTTGGCACATGAGAAAACAGTTAAATTTCTAAAAGGCAGAATTGTAAGTGAAAAAAGCCTCCATAAGTAAATTGCTATTTGTGTATTCGTGTGTAATTATATATAGGTTATATATAGTGTATGTGAATGAATATGAAACCGTGCATATATATTATGCAGTCTAACAATGTTCCAACCAATGTGCACAACTAATTGCATATTTGAGTAAAACATGTCCAGCTACAAATTTGTTCTTCAAAACACAGTAGCAAGTGAAGACAAAATAGTAAATGGCAGTCAAATTTATTATTGTCAAGTCTTATTTTTTCTTTTCTTTTTGAAAACTGCAAAAAATTATTTTCCCTTCTCTGTCTAAATATTTGAGGAAATTTAACATAATTTTAGCACTAAAATTTTTAAAAAGTCATCAAATTTACACGTTAGCAACTCATCTTTTGCAATCACTTCATTTTGTTTTCAATCACCTTTCCAAATGCTTTTAGTGTCTCTCTATAGTTCCACTATGGTTACCCCCACTCAGCTCATGTACTCAGAAGTTAATTCTTTTAAACACACAACTAGACTCATTAGAATTAAAGAATAAAATTTCTAATAGAAAAGACTGAATTGTTTCCATTTGAATTAGGGTCAAATCAATGGGTTCAAGCTGACAGGTCCCTGAGGGTAGGGAAGGGAAGAAAAGAAAAAGAAAAAAATACATATTTTAACTCATTCAGTTTATTGACAGGGACAATTCATACATATGATTGAGTGTGTATTGGACTGGGTAAACATACACAAAAATACACTAATAATCATTTGTTTATTCAAATAAATTCTCCTTTTTACTATATCTAAAGAAAAAAACCAGTTTATTAAGTTCAATATTTATTTTTATTTTAAGTTAACTATACATATATTTTGCTTTTTCCCTCGTTTCCTCAAAGAAGACATTATTTCCACTATCACTTAACCTAGTTATTTAAAAAAATAATTCATCTGTCTATTTCACAAATTTATTCAGTAGTCTAATACTCATAGACACAAATAAACCTTAAACACATCTATGTTTACTGTTTAATCCAAATCATCTTTTATTTTCAGGTATTTTTGGCTGAATACACAGGGCCTCTGCTAATATACCTCCTCTTTTATTTGAGAATCTCATGTATATATGATGGAAAAGAGAGTGCTAGAAGACTACGCCACCCAGTGGTACAGTAAGTTGTGTGTGTGTGTGTGTGTGTGTGTGTGTGTGTATGTTAAATATATGTGTATATATGTGACATATATGTGTATATATGTGTGTATATACATATATAACATACACACACATATATAAAACATACACATTAAAGAGGAGATGAATTAGTAAGCAGATAAAATATTAATAAAAGTTTTCGGTAAACTCAATTAAACTGGGTATAATTTTATGGAAATATATTTTAGATAACCTCAAATAGTGTATATATACCAACTTCCAAATTTGTAAACTAAGAACTATTAGAAAAACCTTAAAATAGAGGTAATTAGGCCGGGTGCGGTGGCTCAAGCCTGTAATCCCAGCACTTTGGGAGGCCGAGGAGGGTGGATCACGAGGTCAAGAGATCGAGACCATCCTGGTCAACATGGTGAAACCCCGTCTCTACTAAAAAATACAAAAAATTAGCTGGGTACGGTGGTGCATGCCTGTAATCCCAGCTACTCAGGAGGCGGAGGCAGGAAAATTGCCTGAACCCAGGAGGCGGAGGTTGCGGTGAGCCGAGATCGCGCCATTGCACCCCAGCCTGGGTAACAAGAGCGAAACTCCATCTCAAAAAAAAAAAAAAAAAATAGAGGTAATTTGGCGGCACATGATAGCTCATGTCCATAATCGTAGCACATTGGGAAGCCAGGGAGGGAGGATCGTGAGGTCAAGAGATCAAGACCATCCTGGCCAACATGGTGAAACCCCGTCTCTACTAAAAATACAAAAATTAGTGGGGCATGGTGGCGCTCACCTGTAGTCCCACCTATTTGGGAGGCTGAGGCAAGAGAATCTCTTGAACCCGGGAGGCAGAGGTTGTGGTGAGCCGGAGATTGTGCCACTACACTCCAGTTTGGATGACAGAGCAAGATTCTGTCTCAAAAAAAAAAAAAAGTAATTTGTGTTAATAATGATCACAGCTGTCAAGAGAAATTGGGAAATTCAGAAATATCATTAAAAGAAGCTTGCAATTATAAAATTGAGATATCATGTATAGGAAATAAAATACAAGTACTCAATAAAAGTTTATCATCTATTATTAAACCCCTATTTATTTATTTGGCAATTTGCATAGGAAAGAAATAATGAACAACTAATAAATAGAAAGAAAAAAGTTTACAAGTTACTTTTTATAAGTAAAAATAGAAAATTAAGCACCACTTGGAAGTATGACGAATAAAAGAGTAAAGGAATAAATAAAGCATTCTATGTAACTGTGGTTATTAGCATATTGTGAAAATAATCTCTCTGTCTCTCTACAAGAATGATACGCCAAATGAAATAGAAAGAGAATGTTTATTCAAGATGCTTATTGGGCTCCGGAGAGGGAAATTTGTTTGGAAAAAAAGACCTAAAAAATTGTTTTTATTAAATAAACTCCAAGTGAATTAAGAAGAAAATTTTAAATGTTTAGGTCACATGAATCCTAAAAGATTGAGAACTAATTTTATCTTAACTTTCTTACCTATAATCACGTTTTGGTTAAGTTTAATTACTGTACTCCAGCCACATGTATCTCCTTTCATGTCCTGATTTTCTACTGTATTAGTTCGTTTTCTTCTTGCTGTGAAGAAATACCCAAGACTGAGTAATTTATTTAAAAAATATTTATTTAATTGACTCCCCATTCTGCAAAGCTTGGGAGGCCTTAAGAAATATACAATTATTGCAGAAATCACCTCTTCACATTTCCTTGAGTGAAAGGAATGCTCAATTATTTTAAAAAGAGGCTGGGATAAAGAGTTTGGTGGAGAATCTAAAAGCATTCATTTTTTTAGGCCAAATATGTAACATATACCAAATGTCTAGCAGAGCATGAAGAAACAAGTTTTCTTCGGTGTCATTCGCAAAGAAATTGACTCGTATTTTTCCTTTTTTTTTTTTTTTTTTTATGTTTTTGAGATGGGGTCTTGCCCTGTAGCCCAGGCTAGAGTGCAGCAGCTCAGTTGTGGTTCCCTGGAGCCTCACTCTTCAGGGCTCAAGCCATTTTCCTACCTCAGTGCTCTAAGCAGCTGAGACTATAGGTGTATACCATCACATCCAGCTATTTTTTTAAAAATATTTTTAGAGTTTAAGTCTCATTATGTTGCTTAGACTGTTCTTGAACTCCTGGGCTCAAGAGATTCTCCTGCCTCAGTCTCCCAAAGTGCTGGGATTATAGGCATGCATCACTGCACCAGCCTTACTATTTTTAAACACAAATACAGCATGTTTGGTATTATCTCAGTGGTCAGTGTATTTGTGCCACATTGTTCCCAAATAACAAATACATTAAGTTTGTATAAAGTAATTCCACAGCAGATACACAAATTACTTTCGAAATTTAGGTGTCTAGCAGGGCTTTGGCAAATAATCACAAAGCTTGTGTTATCTAATTTTCAGGATGATGTTGTTTTAAGATGAATTCTTAAATGACACATTAATTTGCCACAGACTAAAATGTTGTCTCCAAAATTGCTTTGAATTAATGTTATAATGTCAAAATAATTTTCTGCTAAGTTCATATAGAAGGAGATTTTTATATGTGACCCAACCGCCACAAAGTTCTTCAGATTTCTTAGAATCCTCCACACACTGAAACTAAAGGAATATCTCCTGCAGGAACTGTATCCACATCAAGTATCTTACGAACCTGTTACCTGAACATTTCCTTGTCTTCTTCAACAGAAACCAGAAACCTGGTGCAATGCCTCCCCTGCTGTTTCCAAAGCTGAAGATGTGCTTTTCTGTGATGTGCCCTCATATCCCGAACCTTACTTGATTTAAAATAAATAAGATTTTATCAGTACTTTGGTTGGGAAAAAGAATTGGATCCATGCTTATTTATGGTTTACAGTTAATTTAGCAATTAACAGAAAATAATCAGTGTTTGACTGGAAGTTAAACATAATTATATAGAATAATAATGCTTTGAAATAAAATCAAACTTGGTGAGTTAGCAATAATGTACAATGTGGCATATATATAAACAGTATGCTTCTATGTGTATATTCTACAGTGGTTTCTACACTCTCATGATACAGTATAAAATAAATGAATGAACTAATGCAGAAGAATCACAGATTGAAACAAAATTTATCACTTATGGCTCTGCTACATTGCTGCTTTCTTATTATATATATATATAATATAAAAAATATATATATAATATAAAATATATATATATATATATACTACTTATGGGTTTTTGTAACTACTTCTACAAAAGAACAATAAAATGAGGAGAGATATCAATTTCCTTATCTACCTTTTGAAATCATAAGGCAGCTCCTTCTATCACGACTTTTGCTTTTGTTTGTCTGACTTTCTAGAAAGTTCTTCCCCCAGATATCCATGTTGTTTGCTCTAACCTATTTTTCAGAATTTATCTACTATTATATTTATAGGTATATGCATCATATAAAACATTTATGTTACATAATAGGTGCACAATTTGCTTTTCTTGAATGAATGAATAATGATAGATTTGCTGCTGACCTAACCAGGATAGTGTTAGTTTAATTATTTGTTTTCCCTAAAGTTACCCTACTCATAGCAAAAATCATTTCTATGGAAATAAACTCACAGACTTATAAATAAACTCAATGTCTGATTTTATTATTGTATAGAGCACCTTTACTGGTTAAAGTATGTATCAGTTGGGTGTAGTGTCTCACACCTGTAATCCCAGCACTTTGGGAGCCCCAGGCAAGTTGATCACTTGAGCTCACGAGTTTGAGACTAGCCTGGGCAACAACGTGAAACCCATTTCTACAAAAAATACAAAAAATTGTCCAGGCATGGTGGTGTGGGGCTGTAGTTTAGCTATTCAGGAGGCTGAAGTGGAAGGACTGGTGGAGCCTGACAGATTGAGCCATGATTGTGCCACTGAACTGCAGCCTGGATGACAGATCAAGACCTCAACTTCAAAAACAAAAATAAACAACACAAAAAAAGTATGTCATCTTTGATCCTTATTTATTTCACTAATAGCAAACAAAGTTTTTGAGATTTTACATTTTTATATATAACAAAATAGGTACAGATCTTAATGAAAACTACATGCTTTTTAGTATATCCAGAAAAATGTACCTCTGTAAATAACATTTTATATTTACTTTTAAGATAGAAATTATATGAAAATGATAAGAGATAGTAACTTAAAATATAGCAGAAAAAACAAGCACACAAAGAGACAAAATATAATATTCAGTAGGAAATAACAAAAAAACAAAAACAAAACAAAAGCTACATTATTGCTGCACTGAAAATGCAATTTAAGCTTTCTCCATCTTGGTACTTGCTAAAGGACAAACAGACAATTAAAAAGTTATTCTGAATATTATAAAATGTCAAATGCATTCCAAGTAGGCTTTGGAATTTTTTTAAACTTGTTGATTGTCAGTTTCAGTCAAGACATTTTGATATGAACATATTTGCAATTATCATATTTATACCTACTCTTGGGACAGGTGTGAGCATAAGAGTTTATGACTGGTATTATAAAATATTTTAGTGTTGTCAGAAGTAAATTTACAGAGACTCTTATAACAGCTACTTTTATTGCTACATTTTGAAAGTTAAATATTAAAGAAAGTATTTGAGTTTTAGTTATCAGAAACAATATTTCCTAACAGCTAGAATATTACAGTAAACTAAAATTTTAAATGTGTCATGCATAAGGCAAGCCAGAATTTCAAAGGGATTTTAATGTTTACTTTTTATTTTCTTTCCAGCTTGGCTTGCTTCTGTCATTGTATACATTACATCCGATACCTTTTGGAAACCTTATTTGTTCACAAAGTTTCTGCAGGACAAACAACATTGAAAAATTTGATAATGGTGAGGATGCTTTGTATTTTTAATTATTATTGAGACATTTTAAATGTTGGATTGTTTGCAAAATATTTAATCACTGTGTTCTTCTGAAACTTAGATTTTTATGTTTAATTGTATAAGCATATCTTAAACATTCTTTTCCTCAAATGCCATTTTTTGAGTAATATATTTCATTTGAACTTAATTCTATAAAAAAGATTTATCATTACCACATATTACAAGACAAGCTAGATACTCCTAGATATCTTTTAATTTTGGTAACACTAATCATTGTATTCAGATTTCTTGAGTGCCACTCGAAGGGAAGAATATCAGATAAGAACATTTCTACAAATCTATATCTGTGTGGGATTAAAGTGATGCTACTATATTCCATTATTATGGCAGTTGTCAATATGATGCTAGTGTCTTTGCTCTTTCTAGAAATTGTTAATGCAACAGTTATCAACTATCAAATAAGTACCAAACAATGAAAAAATATGTAAAATGTTGACATGGAAAAGTACAATAGACAACATGTTGAAACTCAATTTTCAATTTAAGTTAAATTTTATTTTATTTTTCAATTTAAAATATATTTTCAAAAAAAGGTTTGCCTGTATAAAAAATGTCTTAGTTTTTATCAAATATCTGCTTTGCAATATTGCTAGAGCATTATAGTAAACTAAATAGCCATTTTATTGTTGTCATTGCAATGAAGCTGTAATCTCTGAAATTCTGAGACCTCAGAAGTCATTTAGACCTGCTTATTTTTGATAGAAGTAATCAAATCAATTCAAGATCACCATTATAGACTATAAGTCTTAAATCCAAGCCATTTCCATTCCAGTCAATCAACATGTTTTAATAATTATTAAATAATTTATTTTTTAAATTCACTAATTGTTGAAAAAACGTTAGCATATCTTATGCAATAGTAATTGATGTTTTATTTTTAGCAATTTGTTTACTACTTGCTAGACAAAACTAATTCTCACCAACTTTTCTAAAATATTTTGTTAACTTGACATATATCACAAATATTCATTAATATTAATACAAGTGGAGCAAAGAAATCCATTTTCTTAGTGATATCAAAATAGTATTCTTAAAATGCTGCTGTTACAATCTCCTTATGTCTTAGTTTAGTGAGGTCCAAGTTCTTGTCCCCCAACTAAGAAGAATAAGACACATGCATACCGAAGAGTGAGTAGGGCAGATTTATTAAACAACAGAAAACCTTTCAGCAGCTAAAGGGTACCTGAAGAGGGTTACCAGAAATGGGGCTGAGTTCTGGGTCTTTAATGTGGCAAAGACAAGGAAGTCTTCTGTGGTTTGCACCCTAAGAAAGGGGGTAAAATTCCCACTGAGTGTGTTGTATCTGCACAAGCCTGGGGTTGGCCATAGTTACTCCATTTTGGCTATTACCCATGTGTGACTAAGTAAACCCCACGGAGTGAGGATGGTTAAACCACAATGCTAATGGTATTATAATTATATTGAGTTCAGGGTCAACTTAGTATGCCCTTGGTCCTTGTGTGCAGCACCTGCACAAATTGCTGGAAAGTCCCTTCTGAGCAAGCGTGTTGTTATAAGAGGAAATTGTTAACCACATTTCCTCTTGCTAGCTAGATAAAATGGGTAGTGCAGGTGTGACAATATGCATTGTCCCTCTTGCAAGACACTCCATCTCCATCTGCCTAACCAGCCCTTACCCACCTCATCTCTCATTCCACACTCTGAGGTGTTAACCCTAACTTCCATTAGGAGGAAATGGAAGATGAATTATCTTGCTTTTTCAGGCTGCGAGAGGGTGTTGTTCCAGAAAGGTGGAGGAATTATCATAGATTCCTAATTCTATTCCTTCCTAAGACCTCCAGGATCCACATTTGAAAGTGTTTTCTCCTCCATTCTCCCATATTATCATTAGGATCCTATCTAGAGTCCTTCAATGGTACTGCTGTCTTTTCAGTTGGATAAAGCCTTCCCCACTCTCTGCCACTATATGAAATATGAAGCTCATCTAAAAATGTCTTTACTGTTTTCAAGGCTGCCTGATTCTCACCTGGAGCAGTGATCAGGGTTTGATTTAAGAATAACATATCATCCTTTCAGAACAGTTTAAATACATGGGTTAATTCCTGGAAGGCCCTTATACATGAATGATGTTGGGGCTTGCCCAGAAGTATATTAGGGTCTGAGGGTAAAAGGAATCCCAGTGATCCAGGTTGCTGTTACGGGAAGTGCAAGCTGAAGATGGATTGTTACACATATGGAAAGAGAAGGGAGAAAAGGCATCCCCAAGTCTGTCTTCCACTGTTAGGGTGAACTGGGATTGGAAGAGAGAGAGAAAAGGCATCCCCTTTCTCCTCTACCTCTCCTTGTATTCTGAGTCCCAGAGACATTTATAGGTTTCGTCTGTGGATGCAAGTGTGATCTCCAACCACGGACTGGGAGAGTTGTAGGCAGGGATAGTCACACTCACCTACACTGCACCCCAGTCCTACAGTGTTGATTACCTTTGGGGTCCCCAAGATCTATTTCTTTTTTTGAGCTTCAGTCACAAAACTTCCCATAGAAGCTTGAAAAATACATTTAAGTAATTGAATTTGGGCAAGAAACATTAATGGAGGGGGTGTCATTAATATTTAAAGATTATCCCTTCACTGATAGTTAATGGACAGAGCCAGATCATAGCATTCAAGGAAATGAAAGTGACTGAAAACTAGCCCCTTCTTCCTGCTCAGGAATTTTTATACTTAGAGGAAGAATAGGTGTCTTTGAAAATGTAGGGTTGGCTTAACTAATTTTGTGGGCTAGTAGTCAGGAAATTAGGGCTCCCCTTGATGTAGGGCCTACAGGGCTCCCCACAGAAACAAATCCTTGCCTCATTAGGCACCTTGACAAAGTTTGGAATGTTAGCCTGTAACTTTGTGTCCAATTCTTTTTCAGAAAGAGGGTTGAAAGAGGGGAGTTTAGGGTTTGGTTGGCCTCCCTTCAAAATAAGCATCCTAGGAGAAGAAAAGTGATTTCTCACATAATGCATGGTTCTGTGCTTGATGAGCAGTGCTGAATTCTTTCATGGAGATAAAAAACAACCTAAATGGACAGGAGAATAATCACTCAGGGAGGAATTTCCTCCTGTACAGTGGCAGCGAGTCTTCTTGAAAGGAGGCAAGAAATTCTAAATCTTCATATCTCCCTCATTCTAAGAATAGGCAAAACAACAAGCAACATTGTTCTGGGTTACACTCCTAATGAGTATTATTTTTTCAATACTCCTGGTTGCAAAATCATTCATAACATTGAATATAAAGAAGGGAGAGCAGCTTGGTAGTCTCAAAAAGAAAGACATGTGATAGAAAATACTGGAAATCTTTGTCCAACAACCTAACATGCTGTCAGTGACTTGAGCAAGTCTAGGGTCCTTTGGGTTACACCAAGGCGTAGCCCCAGCCAGATGCCTTCAGTTGCCCCACGACCTCCTTCTAAATCACAGACGATGGCTAGAGCACCATGAAGGGTAATTGGATTGAAACAGAATAAAACATTCCTAACACCCACAGGTGAAGAGGGTTTGACAAAGTCCTTACCCTTAAGCTTGTCCTCTGTGTCTTTAAGGACTGATAGCCATGTTATTCACTCTTAACTGGCTAAGAGAGGCCCAGTGTTCTCTTTGGTTTCATATAATAAAGGGAGCAAATAGGCTATTGGAAATGAAAATAAAAGAAGTCTGCTTTTACTCACTCTTCCCATCATCCTGGGCAAGCCCCCAAAATGTTGCAGTCTCCTTACTCCTTAGTTTAGTGAGATCTGAGTTCTTGTCTCATGACCAAGAAGAATGAAGCATGCAGACACCAGAGCATGAATAAGGAAGAGTAGGATTTGTTAAGCAACAGAAATGCTCTCAGCAGCAACAGGGGACCTGAGGAGGGTTGCAAAACATGGAGCTGAGTCCTCAGTCTTTTATGTGGCAAAGACAAGGAAGACTTTTCTGGGTTCCACCCTAAGGGGATGGTTAAAGTTTCCCCTGGGGGTGTTGCATCTGTGCATGCATGGGGTTGGCTGTAGCTACTCCATCTTGGTTATCACTCATGAGGGCCTAAGTGAAACCCGTGAAGTGGGGAGGGTTAAATCATAATGCTAATAGCATTATAATGTGGTCAGGATCATTTTAGGATACACTTGTTCCTTGTCTGTGCCTGTGTGGGTGGCTGTAAGTCCCTTCTGAGCAAGCATCTTTGTATAAGAGGAAATTCTTAACCACATTTCCTCTTGCTAGCTACATAACAGGGGCAGTGCAGGGGCAGTCCCACAGGTGTTGGTCCTCTTCTGAGACCCTCCCTTGCCTAACCAGCCCCTACCTGGCTCCTCTCTCACTATTATACTGGGCAAAGAAGTATTCCATTTATTAAACTTAGACAATTTTTAACATTTTACATACAAATGCTACAGTGTCTAATATAAACTTATGGGGTGGTTTCAAATTGTGACATACATATAATATAATGTATTGTGATGTACATATACATTATTTTATGTATTATATATGTCACAATACATATATATTATGTGTGTCACATATATATATATGTTACTTATTTTTTCTAACTTTTTGTTTTGTTTTGTTATGTTTTGTTTACAGATTTGTGCCTTTTACTGGGGATTTACTTCTTGGATCGCCTATTACATTAATCATCCACTGTATACACCACCATGTATGTAGGGTTCTTCTGAACTAACCCCATACTAAATGACCAACCTAAAAGCTTTGTTCTAAATGGTATACATATTATGAACAGCACAGAATAAAGGGATAAGTAAAAAATAAAACAATTCAATTTTAAATTGCTTTCATATGTATTTAAATGCTTATGTAGGCCTAAAAGACCAATTTGACTCATTTGTTTCAATTTATTTTCTTTCTACCTGAAACAGCAAAAATATTAGTTGGTTGTAAACCTCCAAAAAACAGATAAAAAAATGAAAAAGCAACAATTAAAGAGAAAATTATTATATAACTATACAATCATATACCAATCAGCTATCAGATATTTTAAAATTAAATAATGAACATTTAATTATTCTTTTAAATATAATTTGACAAAAAACAGAGGCAACTTTTTCTATGACAAATTAGTTTTTATTTATAATTTAATTTACTAAAATATCTTGACTTAGATGAACAATTTGGTTGAATGTACATTGGTAGAAACCTAATTTCTTGGTTCTTAATCTTAAAAAGAAAAAAAAAGGTCCCCTGATTAAGAAATTTCCTTTCTTTCTTCAATTTGGATTTATCTGTCTTCAGCTTTTACTAGCATATAAGACACATGATGTAAAGCTCAAAAATTAAATTGTTTCTCAATTAATTGACAATTACTTTTGTGGTCTATTTCTGGTGTTTACAAAGATAAAAATAAATTGAAATAAATGTATATTCAATCTTTAAGTTTTAGAAAATAACTTAAGCTTGCTTAATTTTTTAGCAGAAGTATTAATATAGAGAATTACAATGCTCAGTGTCTTTGCTAAAATCAACAAATCTAGTTCATTCTGGGAAGTGAAGAGGCATTGATTTTAATAATTAAAACTTCAGCTGGTCTTAATACTAACAATTAACTATGAATATTGAAAATGAAAATTTCCTGTATTTACCAATATCCTTACAATTTTAACACATGGGTGTATTGCTCCAGATTATGTTAAGAAGAAATGCCTCTGAAAAATGCTTCATTTCCATATTGGATACAAAATAATAATAGTGGTTAATTTTGTTAATGTACACAAAGCATGTATTAAAAACTGACTATTTGTTAATAACTGTAAATATTTTATTTCTTTTCAATTTAAAACATTATTTTGTGGCTGTTAATATTTTCTATTAAAAGCTAGAAAAATAATGCCCTGAAAATATAAATTCACTATGCTCAAGATCTTAAAATGCATAAGATAAAATAAGGATTCAAATGCTGTAAAAACATATGATAGCATTTTAATACTGATTACCAGTGGAAAATGAATATCTTGCCTTGGAAGTCCACATTTAACATGGTTGCAATATACATGAGCTACAGCTGTTATGCTTTAGTTAAATCATACCAAATAACAATGCGACTGCTAAAACTGTATATGATAGAATTAGTTGTTATTTTCTTTTATAGAGAACGTATAAATTCACTTTTATTAAGGCTTCTTATGTATTAGGTACTATGCAAACAATTGCCACATTTTGTCTCATTGAATCCTTATGAAAATTATACTGTTTATATTCCCATTTTACAGTTGAACAGCTAAACTTTAGAAAATGTAGGCAGATTTTTCCAAATTTACTTAGCTTATAACTGGAAAATAATCTATAGCTTATCTACAGATAACAGTAAACTGTGCAAGAGATTAGCCAATCCACAGCCAGACAGACACGTAAATTCTGTATAGACACTATCATGGAGACCCCCTTACCAAATGAGCATGTCATCTTTACCTTGGTTGTGATCTGGGTAGTAGAGGCTCCCATTTCTTTAACTGTTGGTTATATGGGCTTAGGATACCTAACACACATTGTTAACAAATAACAGGACCCAGTAGCTTTCTCTAACTTGTTCCATGCTTGTCATTTATTGTTATATTTTTTCTGTAAAATTTCATCCTTTTCTATATTTATGCTGCAAAAAAACTTCCCTTTCATTTCTTGTCACTTTCTAAGCCTTTAATAGAATATTTTCCCTTCTTAACACTTTGATTAAAATATTAAAAATATTTTAATTTTAAAAATTGATCATTACATCATAAAAATTAAATTTTGTACTCACAAAGCAGAAATAGTACAAACTACATTATTTTTAGGAGAGATAAAATAAACCTTAATATTACAATATAAGCACACAAAAGTGTTTAAAAAAATATTTGAGGGGATATTTAAAAACATATTTCTAAATTATTTTAACAGTAAGAGATATAACAGTAATTATAGAACAACAATGACAAGGTAACAAAAAAAAAGAAAATAGTACTTATTAAAGTTGTTTTCAGCAGAGCCAGTATAATCTTAATAAATAATCATATTTAAGGAAGATGAAACACTTCAAACAAATCAATAATTTCTTTAATTTTTGTTTTAATATATTTTACTTTGCTGCATTAAATCCATCTGCTTAAGGTTGCAAAATAGACAATTTATCCAGTTTTTATTTTGTTCTTCTTGAAATATTTGATTAAATTATCCATACTTACAAATTATCCCTCTTTTTAACCTCAAAATAAGAAAACAAAGTGATTAGACTTTTGGACTTTATCTGTTTAATATTTGATCACATTTCTATACTTTCACTTTATGTATATTGTTCCTTCAATATACATAATTAAGTCTTAATTAAGTATAATTTTTTATTACATTACAGCCATTTTATTATTTTTTCTGCTTTTTTGTTGCTGTTATTGTTGTGTTTTTGTTGTCATAGTTGACACTGCTGTTCTTTGCTCTCTACACCAACTGGATTTTTTTCCACTTCCTTCTGTATTCTCTGGCTAACAGTGTTTGACTTTTATCACAATTCTTACTGCAATCTATTCTCATCAAATTTGGCTGCAAAAAGTTAAAAGCATTTGTATATTAATACACAAATGCTAACAGTTGAAAATCAACACATTGTATACATATTTCCAACACATATTTTAGTTCATTTTCTGTAATTCTTGAATAATATTTAAATACAACCAAATAAAACGTTATCAAAACTGTAAACTGCCCAATGGCAGGAACACTTTAATAACCCCAAATTAGAATGTACGTTCAAATACCTCAATATATAAATGTTTACTATCAACATAATCAAGGAATAATGTACCATTAAGTTACTTTTACCTATCTAAATGTGAAACATTATACAAATTATGAAATATTATTAAACGTTTTAAAAACTTATAATGACTAAAACCTTTCTAGAAAGTTTATTTCTCTTTACACTACTTATGACTTTGTTTTCATGGAAATAAATATGGAAAACGACTCTTGACTCGATACTTGTGTTTATCACATTGTTATTCATTTTCATTTAACAATAGAAATAAGACTTATGTCTACTGTCCTCTGCCTAATGTTCTCTGAAACCTCTTTTCTCTATATCAATGCCTATTCATTTAAAAAAATCAAAGCTTAAATTTGTACACAGAATCCTCCCTGATCTCCCAGATTACCCAAGAAAAACCCCTTTTTTTATTCTGTTAAATACTACATAGATCTTTTTAGTAGCACTTATCAATTTTGCAAACTTCCATTTGTTATCATGTGATTCATAGTTTTCTCGGTAAGAATGTAAGTTCACTTAAGATTGCCTCTGGCTTTGTCTGTACTTTATCACAAGCACATAGTTCAGTTCCTCTCATCACATGAACTCTTGATAACTAGTTGAATGAGTAAAGTTACATTGAATAATAGGTATAAATTAAAGAATTATGGCTGAGACACATGCATATCAACCAATTGTGATTTGGCAAGAGCAGAATGTTTAATTATGTGACAAAATATGTATAACATTATGTTAAGAGAAAAATAAGTTATAAAATTGTTGCATCAAATATTGTGAAAATGTGCAACATATATGAATATGTCAAAGGGAAAATCATAATATTCATTGTTTTTTTTATGGTTCATGAGATTTTAATTCATTCTCCTTTCCCTTACCACTTTTTTCTGTTCCCCAAGTATTCTCCGTCAATATATTTTATTTTACTATTAGATATATGAACTTTATGAAAACAAAACTTCCAATTCATGCACACATGGCTTGTATATATATTCTGTGAATATGTCTATGCAAAATACCTATATACCTCTAACTATACGTTTGAGTTTCTAGCTTAAGAAAACAGAATTTAATAAGAGATTTACTAAATAAATTTATACATAAAGATGTTTAAAGCAGTATTATATATCACACGTAAAATTTAAATGACCTTTGCAGCAATTCTATAGCCACATCATGCATTATTATGAAGATTTAATTACAGTTATGACAATGAGTGTTTCACAGTATTAGAAAATCTTTAAATATATTATTAAGTGATAAATGCAAGTGTTAAAATGAGGGATAATATTATCATGTGTATATGTAAATATGTTTATATAAATACTATTACATGTTCTCATACATATATCAAAAAGAAAGAAATACAACTATTCATACGTATGATGAGTTTGTCAAATTATTTTATTATTATTATTTGAATATTTTAACTTTTCACTATGAGCAACCCTTCCTTTAGAACACTGATTTAAATGCTGCTTTGTACATTACTCTTTCTCTGCTCTCTATAACTTAACCTATATCTTTCTTTAAGGTAGGAAAAGTAATACATCATATATTTGTTATAATAAAATATACTTTTAATTCCACTTATTACAAAACATGAAGGCAGAAAAATGACTATAATTAGCAATTTTCCTTTTATTGTTAAACATTAAAAATGAGAGTGATTTTGTGGTGTCATTATATACTTGGCCATACTTAAATGTGCTTGTAAATTGGGACAAAGACTAAATCTGCCTTCAAAGAGTTTAATAATACAAATTAATAATATATTTCATCTGTAATTTAAATAACATTGTATTACTAAAAAAGTACAAGTGGAAAAAAATGAACATTTTAGATAGCAAAAGTATCATCCAAAAAGTTGAATTATATCCTAGAGAGTTCCGTTGATTGTAGAAAAGTTATATCCAGTAATTGCTGCCTGAGTTATGTCTATATATCTGACAACCCAAACTATGAGTATATGCATGACATATTCTTTTTCTACTCTCTAGCATTTGGAAACAGGCAAATCACAGTATCTGCTATCAATTTTCTGGTATGTATCATATATATTTTTGCTATTCATGCTATAATTTTGGTACTATGAAGAAGAAAAACAAATGGTATTGAGGATTTGCCATGTAGAAAATATGATATATATTTCTGCAATCTGAAGAGAAACCAGAGTATGATATATACTTCTACAATGTACATAATGATATAAAATAAAGTAAATATAATGACTTACTATAATCTAGTCTTTAGCTCTCTAAATTTAGAAAAATCAAAATGTTGTAGTCATCTCTAAAGGTTGATTAGAATTATTTGAAATACAATGAATATTTGAAAAATATAGACTCAGTGATTCTTCCTACTGTATGCACATTTACCAACCTATAAACTTCCAAGATCAAAAATTTATTTGCAAATTTTACAGATAAACACCCCAAAAACACTTTGGCATAATTGTTAATTTAATTCAAGAAGAACACAGCCTTTAGCTTTTTTTAATAAAACCTGGCTCTTTCTATACTGTTCCAATTCAATTTCTTTAGATTGTTCTATGTAAATAAACATTTACATACATTGAATTGTATGAAAATCAACCTGATTATCATACACAAGATTCTTGACTATTTCTAAAATGCATTAATTATTTCATTTGACACTTCATTTTTTTTTTAGTTTTTATAAGCTCTGTAACTCCTTGCTTTCATTCTGTGTTTATATTTCTTTCATTCTTGTCCTTGATAATTCAGTTAACTCCCAAGATTCATATACAAGTTCATATTTCTTGCCAAGTTTGTATTTAACAGCTTATTTCTAACTATTTTATACAGGTCATAAATCACCCACCATGATCTGTAAGGAGCTCTCACATGACCCTCTCTTGCTATCTCTCTCTCTACATATTTTTAGTTAGTTTAGGTAAAAAGGTCCTCCAGTGCATTTGCTTTGAAGAAAATAAATCTTGTTTTTGTCTTGGTGTAGCAGGAACTCATTACTTGTTTGAATAAATGGCACAGATAATTTATGTATTTGGAATTTCTTCAGAAATATATTGAAAATATATCACAGAAGTGTAATTTTCAATTGTGCATATTGTTAAGGGAGAGCAATTCTATGGTTCATGTGTTGTAACAGCGTTAGTGTTAACCCCTGTTGTATTAAGTCTAATATTCTTTTTTTTTAAAGTCTAATATTCTTACATTATTCAGTAAAGCTGAGCGAAGAGAAGAATGAATTCATAGATAAAATAATAACCACCTATTTGGTAGTAATTTCAGTATATTTTACATTAATATCAGATAATTTTTTTTCTGATTTTTCTTCTCTTTATGATGTCCACGTTTTCAAAAAATTGATGATTATATTTTTTTCTGTGTAATTAAGGCAATTTCTTTTTTATATAATATTTTTTATTTTTTACCTTTTCTCAAGTATAGTATGGCTATGTATGTATGTATTTATTCTCTCTTCTCAAACATGTATGATACTACTACAAAAGCAAACTTTTAATAAAAGTGCTTTACTAAAAAGTTACATTATTATAAACATGTTGTAATATTTTTTTTACAAAGTGAAAAGGCATAATTAGACATAAGCAAAATTCTAATAGGTTGCCATTATGCTTTTTATTCCCCAGAGACTTAAAAATTCTGCCTTCTTATTAAGCTACTGTTTTTTCTGGTCCACATATCACTTTAATAATCAAGTGTATTTCATACAGTCCCCAGGCAAAAATTAAGAAAGCCCAGGTTACTAAATTACTATCAGTTACTAAATACTGATAGATGATAGAATAGACTATGTCTGTTACCTGAAGTAGGTAAGTATGATAACTTTAATTCCACATTTAAGCACATAACAAGCATTTTTTATTTCAGTTATAGATTTAACAATTTGATATATTTTATATTTCTATAATCGATAGATTTAAATATTTTTCAAAATTGAAAGTAATATAATTAAAACCTGTGCTTTTAGTTGTAGATAGTCTGATACTAAGTATTTGTGATAATGTAGTTATATTTCGTAGGAAAGCAAAGTTTAGAAATAAGATAGAAGGTCCGCTGTCACTCTCTTACACATGTAAATTGTCATGAGAAATTGAGAAAACCTGTTAGTCCTAAAATTTCTTCATCATGTTTATTGTTAAAACATATTTAACTTTCAAAAATAATATATGATATTTAGCTATTAGTGTTAGAAAGCTGAATCGATTATAAGACCTAATAATAACAATGAATTAGTTGATTGAGCTTTCATTTAAACATGGAGAGGCCTGCTATTCATTGTAAGCAATTTAAAGTCTATCATTCAATGTATAATAACAGAATATATGTGCATGTGCTTTTGAAAGTTATTACAAGTACTATATGTACAAACGGTTTGGAAAAAGTAATCAACATATGTCAAGTCCAATGCTTTGTAAATTATATTCTACTACATACTTTTTATTGTAATATAAATTAACAGGAGATAATACAATCCGTATTGCACAGAATAAACAAAGGAAAAATTAGTAGATCAATCTTATTGATTGAAATTCTTTCTAACTTTCAACACAAGTTTGAGCCTTCAAATATGTTCAGATATCACAAATCTACAGCAAAAATTAAGGAGAATCAAATACAGGAAAATTTATAAAGACATCAGAATAACTTTCCACACAAATTTTAGGTGCAATCTTGTTTGTCTCATGTAAATATTGTGAATACATTTTGTAATTTTAGTATATATATATTTTTTAGGGGCAGGTTCATCTACTGATGAATTTCTTATTATTACAAATCTATCCAGTGTCTAAAACCTACATGCTGTTTTCTTCATGACTCATTATTTGGTTAAACAATTGATATCTCAATATTTAGTTTTGTGATAAATATCCAGGAGGAAAACATTTTGATGGCTGAATAAGCATAAAAATATTAATAATCTCAGAACAAATGTTTCATCAAAATACAATTTCTAAACTATACTTTTTCACAAATTTTGGTAAGTTAACTTGATTTTTAATAAATATTTTGTAATATATTCATTTTTTTGTGTTTGGCACAGTAAGTGATAAAAAATAAATATGACAAGCTGTCTACGTTGAAAGACGTACAAAAGATAGGAAGACCAAACAAATGTAATGAACCATTAGTTTAGTAATTATGGGTTTTGTAGTGCCGACAATTTGTGGAAATAAAGTCTAGAGAAGTGAGATTAGTGTAGGATAATCTGGAGAAGGTTTTATTGATTAAATTGGTAACTAAAATCATCACAATAATTTTATTGGGTAAACATGATGTACAAGGTACTTGACTTCATTCAATCATTATAAATTCTCTAAAGACAGAAATTAACATTTGCATTTAGGTGAAGAAATGAAATTCCAAATGTGGAATTCACTTAATCTCTCATACCTAGTAAATGAAACATGTGGCATGTGAACACAGGTTCATGCAATTGAAAGCCCTTATACTTACCCACATTCACATATAAAACTTCCAAAAAGTATTACCTGAAAATTTAAAATTCCACTTTGCCTCCTTAAAGATAATTTAAGAAACCAAATCCTTTTCTATATTTTGTGCATTTATGTTGGTACGAAATTTGTATTTGTATTGTTTTCTGGATTTTTAAGTATTGATTTTTTATTTGGTATATTTGCTTACATTGTGTCCTAAGTGAATTAATTTATTGAAGTTATTTTATTTATTTATTTACTTTATTGTACTTTGGGCTCTGGGGTACATGTGCACATCCTGCATGCTGTCTCCATTCCTCTCCCCCTCCAAGTCCTGTTGCCTACATCAGGCATTTCTTCCGGTGTTATCCTTTCCCATCCTCCCCACCTCTCCACTCTCCCTCCCCTCCCCTCCCCTCCACCCCCCGACCTAGCCCAGTGAGTGTTGTTATCTTCCCTCTGAGGTTTTCTCATTGTTCTTCACCAACCTATTAGTGAAGACATGCGGTGTCTGGTTTTCTGTTTTTGTGTCAGTTCACTGAGAATGACGATTTCTAGATTCATCCATGGCTCTGCAAAGGACATGAACTTCTTTTTTTATGGCTGCATAATATTTTATGGTGTATATGTGCCACATTTTTATTTTAAGCAGCATTTTTACATAAGAGTTCTGGATGATGAAAATTGATTTAAATTTTCCCTTTCAATATATTTTTTCCTAAAATTTAGAAAGCATTGAATTATATGACACAGTCTGTGAAACATCCAGAAATTAAAGTCCGTAGAACTATTATTATATGTGAAAAAATGCATACAGAAATGGTTGAAAAGAACAAAATCAGCTATAATATATGAGATTAACAACGTTAAAGGTACTGAGTTTAATGGGCACTCAACTTTCGGGATATAGTAAAAGCTTAATGACTCTAAACAAGAAAGATTTTGAAAAACATACTCAGATATCAGTATCAGGGCATATATGGCAGACAAAGCAAGGGTGTTACCCTCACAGGACACATGTTGCAAACCGAGAACATTATTAGTCTCAGATGGTGGTAAGCCTTTGATCAGATAAGGTACATATGGCAGACAAAGGAAGGGTCTTACCTTCCTTTGTGTTGTGTCTGCCATATATAACATACCTGATTTAATACTTGGTGTTAAATTAGATAAGGTCTATATGGCAGACAAAGGAAGGGTCTTACCCTCACAGGAGCCATGTTGAAAACTGAGAATATTATGAGTCTCAGACGATGATGGTAAGCCTTTGATCTTGGAGGGACATAGTGGCCTATTAACAGCATCAACTAGTAGAGTGCATATAATCAAGAGGTCATGATGACAGATAAGCAGCAGTTTTCTTTGTGTGGTAGCACTGCTCACAATAGGTTTTCTAAACTGAGCTGATGCCAGCTGGATATCAAACAATCACCATTCACTAGAAAGATTTTTGCTATTAATAAACAGAGATTAACATAAACCTATGCCAAATTTGTCTTCAGCAAGAGTTGTCCCTTTATGGGCTGAAAATCTCCCCATAGTAACAAGTACAAAGCTGATCAACAAGACAGTTTAGATCTAATTATTAAACAGTGTGCAAAATATCTTCAGAATTTTTAACTCGTTGTGACTAATTATTTTATTCACTATATGCCAGCAACAGCTTTTTTCATTGTTATAATAATAAGAAAAGCTTATCTTTCTATTTAGAATAAAATATATGTCTTTTGAATCTTTGTGATTAATGTTTTACATATATTTTGTGTATCTGTAGAATGTGTTTTGTTTTTTAAATAGGCAGAAAGGTATATAACACTGAAAATGTTTAAAATGTTTTCCAGATGTGTGAAGCTGGGAATCATTTCATCAATGTAATGCTGTCTCATCCCAATCACACAGGTTAGTACTTTTTTCTTTTCTTTTCTTTAGAGTGAATTATGTTAGTAAATATTTTTATAACCTTCAAAAATCTTTGAAAATAAAAATTTTAATAGTTGGAAATATGTATTCCACATTTTCCCTTTTATGCCTAACTTTTCCAAATATTTGAACCAAATCATATTCTCTAATAATTATTTATCTAAAAGAAAGTGCGCCTGCACACAATCATCCTCCTCATATAGACTAAACAATAATCAAAAATCTCACTTAAATATGTAAATAAATGAACTAATGAATAAAAACTAAAGCAGTATAAAACCACTTGAATACCCAAATTGCTAAACTCTCAATATTGATCTCGTTTGCACAATGCTTGATATAGTCCCACTATTTCAAGTGATTTTAAATTTTTTGTAATGAGAGTAATCTTTCGTTGAAAAACACAATGGCACTGAAGTATCAATGCTTGGGAGAACATTTCAAACTTAGTACTATATTTAGGTTAGTGCAAAAGTAATTGCAGTTTTGGACCACAAACTTTACATCATTGTAACTAGTCTCAAACACACATTTATTAATCAAAATAGAAACAATTATAATCATATTTTTGCCAATGAGAATTTTTTTTATTCCTGTAGCATAATAGTCCATGCTTCAGGATTCAACAAACACTTGGAAGCATTTTCTGCGTCTTGCTAATTGTGGAAGCAATATCCCTGCAAAAAGTTGTCCAGATGCTTGAAGAAGGGGTAGTCAGTTGGTGAGAGGTCAGGTGAATATGGTGGATGGGGCAAAACATCGTGGCCCAATTCCTTAAAATTTTAAAATTTTTGTTGTTGATGTGTGATCAGACATTGGCATAGAGAAGAATTGGGTCCTTTCTGTGGATCAATGCTGGCTACAGACTTTGCAGTTTTCAATGCATCTCATTGATTTGCTGAACATACTTTGCAGATGTAATGATTTTGTCGGGATTCAGAAAGCAGTTGTGGATCAGACCACTAAACAGTGACCATGATCTTTTTTTTTGGTGCAAGTTTGGCTTTGGAAAGTGCTTTGGAGCTTCTTCTCAGTCCAACCACTGAGCTGATCATCACTAGTTATATAAAATCCACTTTTGTTGCACGTTACAATCGAATCAAGACATGATTCATTGTTATTGAATTGAATAAGACAACACTTCAAAATGATTTTTTTAATATTTTTGATCAGCTTATGAGGACCTGACTTATTGAGATTTTTCACCTTTCCAATTTGCTTCACATGCCAAAGTAATGTAGAATGGTTGATGTTGAGTTATTTAGCAACTTATTGTGTAATTGTAAGAGGATCAGCTTTGATGATTCATCTCAACTGGTCATTGTCAACTTCTGATGACCAGTCACTAGCTCCTCACCTTCAAGGCTTTCACAAAACTTCTTGAATCACCAGTGCACCGTGTGTTCCTTAGTAGTTCCTGGGCCAAATGTGTTGTTGATGTTGTGAGCTGTCTCCACTTCTTCCTGACCCATTTTGTATTATTATTATTATTATTGAGATGGTGCTTCACTCTTTTAGCCCAGGCTGGTGTTCAATGGCAGGATCTTGGCTCACTGCTCACACCACCCTGCTAACTTTGTATTTTTAGTAGAAATAGTGTTTCTTCATGCTGGCCAGGCTTGTAACAAACTTCTAACCTCAGGTGATCCACCTGCCTCGGCTTCCAAATTGCTGAGATTACAGGCATGAGCCACTGCACCCAGCTCATCACCCATTTTGAACTCGATTAAGAAAATCGCTTGGATTTGCTTTTTGTCTGACATCATTTCCGTATACAAAGAATAAATATAAAATATCAGCACGTAATACGTCCTTAGCAAAAAAAAAAACATAAAGTAAGAAATGCGCATTAAAATGATGTATAACATAACCATGTTTATTTAAGAAGGTGTTCCAATATCAAATGACAAATTCCAGCAGTGCTATAACTTCTTACTTTTACACTCACCTATATATTTGAAAAAGTTCACAGTGTCTCCATTATTTAAAGATATTTGTGGTAAGTCAATCATCTCATTTAGACTCATTTATATGTAGTGATTCCCAACTGCTTACCTTATATAATACATGATTTAATTATAAATTCAAATAGAAATGATAAACATTTAGTCTACTTGTTAACATTTCAAATGAAAATATAAAGGCATATTTGACTCTTCAATTATGTTTTAACAACAGCCTAAATTTCTTAACATTTTCTTGCCTTCCACACTTCTGGTAGGTTAGTGAAACATATAAAACATTTTTCAGAATAATTGTTACATGAAGTAAAATATGTATAATGACAAAGGAAAATTCTTATATTAGAATAATTGTGAATATATAAAAAACTATAATAAAAGCATATGTTTTTTATCACAACATTACATAACATTTTGATGAGTACTCAACATTTTGAGTACTGATAATAAATTATGGAGATTTAAAATGAAGTATACTGTGACTTAAAAATATTTGTGCTTTATCTTGGTTAAAAAAAAAATTCATGCAAGGCCAATGCTGTTGTAGTTTGTGGTCCTCATTTGCAATGGAGTGAAGCCCACATTTTATTAAGAGATTGGGTGCCATTTTATCCAATCCAAATTCATAGGTACATTGAATTTTCTTTGGATGCATATGAACCACAAATGAAAAATATCTGAGAGTCTAATTTTTTTTTAGTGGAAAAGCAAAACACAGTATAATCTAATAAAATACTAGCATTGCCAAAGTTATAAATATCAAAAATTTTAGTCTTATCTGGCTGGCTAGCAATATAATAAACTTAAACTTCTTCATTTATTTGGAATATGGTATTATCATTTGAAAATGAAAATTTTAAATCATCCAGTAATTTTGAAATTGTTCATGTAAGAAAACCACCCCCCTTTTTAGTGTTTACTCCACTCTTTATCTTGCTTTGTATATTGCTCTTGCAGAATCAGATGCGAACCTAGTTCTCTCTCTTTTGTTAAATGATGTTTTTTTTGCTACAAGGCCTAGGTGGCTTTTTCTTTATTATGAAAGTCTACAAATTTTTAGGGAGTGTCTAAAGGTTGGTAATTCCCAACCAATTTCCCCAGGGTCATGAGGTGCTCTTCTATTAGGTTAATCCATGTCTTATTTTAGTTCTAGAAAATTTCCTCAAATTACAATTTTAAAATCAGTTTTATTACATTACAGAGTGTGAGGGGGATACACTGTACCTATGTTCCTTTTTCTGCCTCTCGCTTCTCTGTCACTTTCTCTTTGACTCTCTTTGGCTCTTTTCTTTTTTGGCTATTCTTTTTATCTGCTTAGTAGACTCTATTCTGTTGAATATTACATCCTTAAGCAAATGAAAAATGTATTTCATATTACTCAGATAGTTTCTTCTTTGTCCACAATTTCTTGAGTACAATCAACTCTTATTTGATATTATATCTTCTTGCTTTTTTCATATCTGTTTTCAGTTTGGGGATTTTTTAATGGTTACATTATTTGGTAATTGTGTGTGTGTGTGTGTGTGTGTGTGTGTGTGTGTGTTCTGTACATTTTGTTTTGTTTTCCTTGAAGAGGGTTAGTTTTTGTCTGCAAGCAAAAACACTTTCTAGTTCATTCATGCAAAAATATCATTGGTTTACATTTATTATTTAATTTTTTATTTATTTTATTTATTTAATTTAATTTATTATTAAATGTGTGAATTGAAGAAAAATAACACAGTTTTTTACATATGAGGTTACTGAAATCTCTAAAAAAAAAAAAGTTTGTTCCGGAAACAGAGGAGGTTTTCATTGTGTCTTCTGATCCTCTAACACCCTTGTTTTCTAAATTCCTTGCATCTCAGAACTTGTTTCCTTCTTTCTTTTCCCTTCTAAGCTTCCACATACCTTTCCACTCTGAGCAAACTTCTCATAGCATCATTTTATTTCTTGGAAACATTGTCTACCAGGATGGCAACCTCTGGCCTCAGCTGCTTTCAGATAATTGTATTCAATTTGTCCCTATCCGGTGTTCTAATATATCAGGTCCCAGATCTTTTCTCAGAGTGAACTTTCATCTTCTGATTATGAATTCTAAATAGCTACATGTTCAATGCATTATTTTTCCTTACATAAAATCTTTATCAGTTCCTGTGTCAGCTCTAAATTAGCATCTCTTACTCTTGAATTTTTATCGTCTCCCTTACATATTAATTGAAGTATTGTGATATCTATTAGCTATGCTTTAGGCATGGGTTATATCTAGAATTGAACCATTTAATATCAATTGTACAAAGTATCATGAGTCATGTTTCCAGGTGGCAGAAACTGATCTAAAAGAGGGTTATTAGGAATTTTGAAAAGAGACAAGGAAGGAGAATTATGCCAAAGGGGAAGTTGAGCTGTGACGTAATCACAAGAATGGCCTCAGTCAACTCTATCGGGCATCTGAAGCTAGAATAACACTGTAGAGTTCTTATGAGTTGGAATGACTAGAGACGGCTAATTGGATGTTAGTCTACCTGGGAAAGAGAAAGACCTTGTAAGGCAGTTCTCTTTAGTCAAGGTCATTTTCTCAGAGGGTCTGACAGTTGAAAGAAAGCTTCAGCTAATATAGACATTGTGCAAACTACAGAGTATATATATATATATATATGTGTGTGTGTGTGTGTCTGTGTATACAGAGTGTATATATGTGTATATACATATATATATACACATATATACACATATATATACATATATACACATATATGTACACACATATATATGGGAATATATATACATATATATGGGAATATATATAAATTTATGGTAATATATATATAAGAATATATATATATTCTAATCATTATTTATAGTCTAGAGAAATTACCACCTTTGTGAACCCAGGTTGTCTAACAGTACTTAAAATATAAAAATCCCACTTTTTCTAGTATATAGTTCCCTGAATCAATGAAGTTCTTTTAGTGAAGATCACTGAAATCATTATCATGTGCATTTGTTTTGGTGTTACCATGTGTTTCCTCCCAGTGTCTTTCCTCCCAGACTATTCCATCAGTGAGTTTGGAGACTTAGAACTAATTCACATTCCAATACTGGGAAAGGAATACCAGATTTGATATTGCATCAGCTGTTTTAAGTCTCTTAACTATTCATCTATATTTATTTTGTTCAAATTTATTAATAACATTGTTGGATATCCAACTATCTAGCTTCTAGGGACATCACGTTCTATAAGCCAAACATAAATTTCTGTAGATCAAGCCTCCTATGAACTGGCCACTAATTTTGGCTCATGAAAAATTAAGTGCTGTAATTGGAGTTGCCTGATTTTCTAGAAAGTGGTGTGAGGAGGGGTCCTTTAATTTCATTCACTACTAGTTATCTCAGTTCTAGATGACTTCATTGACTGTAAGCCTGAAGCAGCAAACAGCCAACATGAATCTTAGTACTATGATGTCCCTTTCACTACTACATTCCCTATATTATTGAAAAGTGGTATATCCTATTGGCTCACCCATGAGCATGAGAAAAAACATGATAACACAAAATGGGGCAAAAATTCCTTGTATAGAATGAAGTCCTCTATTTTCATGCATGTATAGACGATCTGCTCTAGGATTCCTATTTATCTAAGGCACTTAGCACCTTCTTTCCCAACCTGCCATGGAAATTCTAACATTTCTTCTTTGGCTATTGTGGCCCATTGCTTTGTTCACACTTCCAGGCACATATTAGTTTTGTGTTTGTACAATATTAGCAGGATATTTAATCCTATATTCCAGGAGAGTGCTCCAAAAACAAACAAACCTTTATTCAATTTTATACTTTTCCCCTCTTTTCAAGCACACTCAGATTCCAATCCCATGTGTATTCTCCTATAATTTGTTGGTTCATGCTGGCTAATTTCTGCAGCTCCTTTGAGGCATTATCTTTTTTGTTCTATATCAGATCCAGAACAACCTCAGGTAATTTATATTGGGATATAACCCTAATTGTAATGGCTAGAAGAAAAGATAGAGACATTCAAAGGGGTTTTCTTGAAGTGTAGTGTCTTCTGTATTGCTCTAAGGAAGGGTGTGCTCAACTTTCATAAAAAAGGGTGAGCCACCTCTGCAGGCTCTAGGTGTTTATGAAAACCTAGACATTCCAAGATTTGGTGGTTAAAAAAAAAATATTTGACTTAGCATCAGTCAGCATTGGATTGGAGTTGTATATTATTTAGAGTTGACTACTTTTGAAATTAATACCTGGACATATTCCTTAGCTTTCTCTGACCTCTCCAAGCCTCTTTGCATACTGTCAAGGTGGGCCTGTAACTTTCACAACTGGCTTTTAACTGTCAATGATCAGTTTGTTTTAGATGTCTTTGTGTAGCCATTCAATCCCACTTGTAATATTAGACCAGATAGAATATTGTTTTCAACCACTATAACATAACAATACACCAGTAGTAAAAAGCTTTTACACTTGGATTGCTACCTTGTGCCAGAAGCTATCTGCCTGCCCCTACCATCAGTTATAAAGTACACATTGCAGGCCTTTGGTAAGTCACTCAACTCTAAAATACCATTCCATCATCTGCTTTTGGGGCCATTCCTGGTCCCAATTATGTAAGCTAGGTTTTCTGAAATGCAGATGCTAGGATGGAGATTAACATTCAAGATGACTATGAAGGAACAGTTTTATGGATAGAAGAAATAAATCATATTTAACTAGAAAAATGAGAGCAATATAATCTCAACAAGTCTCCAATGATTGCATGGGACATTCTAAAACTGGGAGAAAAAATCTGTTTTCCTGAATTGAGTTAATCAATTTTCAATATTGATCAAATACTCTATTAAGGCTAAACCAAACAGTGAGTGTGACCTTGGGTGAGGTTGCTTCCGACTATAGGGAGTGCTGAGAGTTGAAGATTTTCTGCCATCAGCAGGCCCTGAAGCAGCAGAATAAACCTTAGATGCCTGAAGAAAAATATGGTGGTGCAGCATTTTAATGTAAAAATCCTCCTAACATTAATTTAATAGAGGTTCTATTATAATATACTATAGTTGAGATAACATTTATGAAGAATGTATTGAATTAGTAGCTCCTAAACTTATTTATTAATACAGTTAACAGCAACTATGTACACTTGAAACAATATACATATATTTTTCTGTGATATAAGACATTTCCATTATTTAATTTACAAACTACATCTGGAAAAAATTTAGATTTGTGGACCCTTGATCATTCCACACCTCTAGGGGCTGAACAGTAATAAACTACAGGCTTTAAAGCAGACTATTTCCAGAACCTTCTACCTCTGAAATTCAATGACTATAACTTGAGTAGAATCCTTAATTATCTTTCTTTTGATTAATATACAAACATTACACAAAGATGTCTACATAAATGCTGTAAAAATCAGTAATATCAAAATACCTATTTATTTTTATGAACAGTCTGTAAAAACTGCACAATACTTAGCATAATTTTTAACTTTGCTATTTCAGAAATTGTTACAATTTTGAAAACAACACACCAACATTTTATTATGACTTTAGAGTTATAAGTAAAAGAGATTAGCTGATTTGTTATCTAAATACATCTTGCTATGGAGAATAAAACATAATTTTATAATTCATATTTACTTTACAAATGTCATACCTCCAAAGTTCCACTTGAAATCATTAAAAATTTGTTATCTAAAATGTTTCTTTAAAAAAAATTGAAAGGCGAAAAATAGCTAACAAAAATAAAATGACAATATATGAAGAATAATAAGAGATGTAAAAATCAATCCTGATTGTTGAACAGAAATGTGATATCTCAGAATATTAATTATACTGATATTCAGTGTAATCCTTCTATGAGAGGTTTGCATACTTTTATCTTATAAATTACATCGTTATAAAGTTCCTTATGATTTTCACCAATTAGATATAGGAAATCTTGAGGTATTTAATAAACTCAAACAAATACATTGCCAATAGTAAAGAGAAATGTGAAGAGGTGGGAAAATGTTAAAACACTTTATAATTTCAGTATGTAGTACTATTTCAACTATTATAATATAAAAATAATTTATATGTATTTAAGATCTCAAAGAATTGATTATACCTATATATTCTGCAATGCTATGGCAACATAGCTATAGACATGATGTGACAATGACAGCTATTTTATTTGACTCAAAAGTTTATAACATTTAAAACTGGGTCTCTTCTGAGTAATTTGTGGAATAGATTGCTATAAATCTGTGATGACATTTCATGTGGTACATAGTTGTTTTGGAGAATTTAGTATTATATAATAAGCATATGATCAGATTTGCAATATGTAGCATCATTGACATTTTACTTTCCTTTGCAAAAGGAAACAATGCCTGTTTCCCAAGTCCAAATTATAACCCCTTCACATGGATGTTTTTCTTGGTTTCATGTCCTAACTACACCTATGAGGTATGTTATAAATACTTGAATTCTATTTATGATGTACTATATGCATGTACTTATGTAGCTACATGTATTATAAATTAATATATACAAGAATTGAGATCTTATCTATAGATTCTGGTATAGGAAAATCGAACATTTTAATAACAATTTTCTCTGCAGAAACAAGAATATTTCTGCATAAGTTAATCTGTATTAAAGAGTATTTTAAAATCTTCATATAAAATGTCGAGATATTTTAGGAGTTTCATTTTTATCAACTGTTTAACAATGTCTTTTATTTTCTTATGAACATGATTCCATTTTATGAGATTGCTTGACGTTATGATATGTAAAAATTAATTTTTTTGAAAATGTATTCCTACCTATAGGTTTTCTAATATTTTAAGCCTTACAATTACCTATTAAATGTCACAAGTGAACAAATCACTAGATTACAGTTATGTATGTGCTAATTTAAGTTTTAATATAACAGATTGGATCATGGATTAGTTTCACAGTCATGACACAAACACTGCCAGGTAAGACCTAGATTTACTGACAATTAATCAAAATAAATGCATTTCTAGGAGAAATGGCTTCTGATAAAAAGTTATGGTAATACTAAAGTATAGCATGTTTGCAAAAGGATTTTATAGCTTCATTTTGATTTTGATTTTTAGCAGTTTTAAAAAATATTGAAGTATTATTGGCTCTTTATCTCTGTATAATTGTTGCTTAATCCAAGCTACGAATTGGAATCCAAATATATTTATTAAGTAATGAGGGTTTTTTTAGAAGAAGTTTTGGTAACAACATATTTCATTTGAAATTTTTTTTTGTACATGTGCACAGGCATGTGTATGTGTTTTGTCTTCAAAGGAAGAGTTGGGGTGTATGAGAGTTAATCTTGAATACTGAGTATTTTAACACACACTAAGAAGTTGAATTGCATGATTTTCTTATAGTAGTGGGGACATATGTTGTGTTCATTTTATCTGTTTTGTTATATTGTACAAGAGTTTTGAATCACAATTAATATGGTTTATGTGCATGCAGAGGAATATTATATGCATCTAGAAAACTACTACTGAAAATTTTAAAATACAAAAATATATCCTTATTTGGGAAGTAGTTTGTGGCAGTGATATATAAAACATGTAGATTAATTTTGAACTTGGTAATGTATTTTCTGTTTTTACTTATTCACACAATATTGATTGGCTATTGACAGGGAATGGGTATGAATAATGGAAATTCTTAGAAAATTATGCAACATTTGACAAACATCTTAAAAGTTAAGCACAGTGCTGATCCTTTTTTCTAATATAAATGTATTTCATTGAAACAAGAAAAAAATAATAATTATTTCTTTTTTTTCTAGTTGGAATTTTCACACTTCTGATGAGTATCCAGATGTCTTTGTGGGCACAAAAAAAACATAAGATTTATCTGAGAAAATTCAATTCATATATTCATAGAAAATCAGCAATGATTCCATTTATATTGTAAAAAATATCTTCTATAGAAAACGGCAATATGCAAATTCAATAATCAAGACTTAGTTAAGGATAGTTACCTATTATATTCTAACAATTCATGAGCAACAGTATTTTTACTAAGTAAAAATAAGAATAAAATTTTACTAAATTTATAGTAATACACAAGGTAATAAAAAGCAAAAATTACAAATACAATTAACTAAGAACAGCTCTCAATATATATACATGGGATGGGTCCTTAAATAAAATTGTCTTCAGTAATACTTCACAATACTATTTGCATAAGACAATTAAAATATCACTGCAAAAACCAAATCTGATTTAAAAATGAAAATGTAATCTGAATAGACATTTCTCAAAAGAAGATCTAGATACGGCCAATAGTGTATTTTAAACATGATGAAGATTCAGAAAAAAGTGAACTCTTAAACACTGCTGGTGGGAATGTAAACTAGCACAGCCACTGTGGATAACAGTATGAAGTTTCTTCAAAAATTACAAATAGAACTATCATATGATGCAGCAATACTACTACTGGACAAAGGAAATTTGTGTTTTAAAGAGACATTTGCACCCTATGTTTACTGCAGCACTATTCACAATAGTCAAGATATAGAAACAACCTAGGAGTCCAACAATAGATGAATGGATAAAGAAAATGTGGTATATATAAACTATGGAATACTATGCAATCATAGAAACGGAATTCCTGTCATCAGGACAACATGAACGGAACAGGAGGACATATATTAAGTGAAACAAGCCAGGAACAGAAAGTTAAACATTGCATGTTATCACTTATACGTAGAAGCTAAAAAAATTGCTATCATAGAAGTAAAACATAGAACAGAGGAAACTACAGATTGGAAAGCTAGGGTCAAAGGGAGATTAGCAAGAGATTTGTTAAAGGATACAAGGTTACAGCTTGGTCGGAGGAATTTCTGGTGTTCTATACCACTGTAGGATGGCTATAGTTAAAAGTAATATATTCTATATAGTTTCAAATAGCTAAAAGGAGATTTTATGTCCAACACAATGAAATGATAACTGTTTGAAACCATGGATACCCTAATTACTCTGATCTGATCACTATAAATTATATGTATTGAAACATTATTATGTATCTCCCCAAAATGTTCAATTCTTATGTGACTTAAAAAATAAAATTTGATTTAAAAAGTATCTGAATTCTAAAGTAAATATTTTTAAATATATTGACATTTAAATTACTTGAATCCCACATTATGTTGACAATAATTTAATTATTTTATTGTTTGATCTGTTAGGGAGATGTGTCATAGTTATTATGTCATTAGTTCGAATCCTTGTGAAAATTATATCTGTATTAAAATTAAAATATATTTATTAATTTGTGTATCTTATTTATTAACTATATAGACATTGTATGCTATCATGTTGGAATTTACAATTAAAATATTTTTTATATATGATTGTTAATTATTTCTGAATATTTAATTTGAAATATATGTTTACTTTTATATGTAAATTATATTTATATCTTCTGAAATATATTTCAAAAGATGTGTCTATATACTTGTGTTTATGTATATGTATATACCCACATATATACACACACACACATACACACACACACACACACATACATATATGTATATTTCAAATGGATTCTATGCACTTGCAAAGGGAAAGTACATTGGTAATTTGAGGACATTAAGAGTAAAAATTTTTGTTTTTTTTACATCTTTAAATATCTATGTTCTCTGAAAGTGTGTGTGTGTGTGTGTTTGTATATGAGCATACATACATACTTAAGAAAGAGATGGCCTATATAAATCAAAGTACACATTATTTAAAATATTTAAAAGAAGTTTTCAATTTCTTCATTTTTAAATTGTGATTCTTTGGATTTGTTAGCCTGTGGAGCATTTTCAGTTCTCAGATTACACATATGTAATAAAATATGCTCATTAATGCTCTTAGATTATATACATATATGACAATATATACATATATGATAATATATGGTAAAGTAGGTCTATATGCACTGGTCAGGGGATGTTTATTGCTAACAAATGTGGCCATTTAAGAAATAATAAAAAGCCCCTTTAAAAGACTTATAATTCCCAATGTATACTATTAAAAAGCTCAGGAGAAAACAGCAACAAGATTCAAATTCATTAATACCTATTCAGCTAAATTGTATGATATCATTTAATGATCTTGAAAGGAAGTGTCAATGCATTAAATCATGTATACCCAAGGCAGTTATGTAATCAACTGCTTGTGATAAATATCCCTTTTTTGAAACTAAGAGTAGTTTTTGTTTTTGTAACTGGATACTGACAGATAGTAACCCAGGAAATTTGCACATTCTTGTAAGACTAGAAGAAGGTCTTTGTTGTGGCAGGAAGTATGGGGTACCTATATAACAGTCGTTTTTCTTACTATTGTGCTATATTCTCTTATTCCAGTTGCTCCATCCTACTTTTCTCGTATCAGTTATTCCCTTATTGTTGGTTGACATATCTTAGTTAAAGGATACCTTAATTATGGAGTGTTTCTTTTAAAATTTACTTCTCATTTGTATTTACAGGTGGTCTCACTGCCTAAGACATCAAAAGAAAAAGCCTGACAAACTTACACCATCTTGATATCAATATTAATGCTTCAGATTAGTCCTGCAGCAGCCATGTACACATTTTCAGCCTTCAAAACCTAACCTTCATTTATAGATTTTAGGAGTTACTATACCTAAGTACATACACATATTCATATGCATATGACTGTGTGTTTAAATGTGCACACTTTACGAACTTTAATACTATCTAAATTAATACATAAGATTTAAATAAATAAGAAGTTTGCATTGGTAGCTAAAATGTGTACTTCTCTCAATATAAAACAAATCTATATAATCTCATATACTCATGGTTTTTTGTCACATATCTAGGTAAATTAATTTTAGCTTATGGAGTATTCTGCAGGAACAGCATTCCACACTGCATAGGTTAGTTGTAGGTATTTCAGTTATGTTTACATGTCAGTGTGCTTGGTGGGGGAAGGAGATTAAAAAACGAGCCTTTAAATATAAAGTTGAAAAAGAACATTAAAAAGTTGAAATCAAGAATAAAATATGAAAATTATTTACAGAAGATATCATAATTTGAACATATTCACAAGAAAAACATTAAGAAAAAACATAAATTCAGAAAAAAATACACAAATGCACTATATAGATTATCAATAAAATTGTTACCATAGTTACTTGTTGAAGTAATATGCTGTCCTAATATGTTTCATTATACCATATTCTCTCAGAGTCAACACTCTCATCCTATAAATAAAAGATATATTGTCAAATTCTAAAATTCTGTATTTTTAACAACTGTGGTTGTTATGTCAAGGTAAATATTGTAATATTAGCCAATTGTAAATACTATACTTTTACTACAGGGAGACATAGAGACCTTATTTCTAATTTAGTAAGATATGTTTATATTTGATATCTTCATAAAAGTAATACAGGGTTTGCCGAAGTTTTTGCCCTTTGTGAAAGGCACACATTTGATGCTATTAAAAGCTAATATTAACTGGAGAACAGTTCTATAATACTTCCATATCACATGCAAAATTTATACTCTATATGCTAGCAGATTTGTGTATGAGATTGAGGGTCAGATGAGGCAAACAGTGAGAGGAGAAAAAGGTACAAAGCAGCCTCTGCTTTTTAGATAGTTTGCTTATTTAAGAGACAAAACAAGTTTAATTTTAATTAAAATATTGCATATTTGCTCACTTAATTATGTTAAACCTCAAATTAAATATTCTTTATAATAAGCATGTCTTTGAACATGACATAAAATGGACAGCTGTGAGTGTGAAACTTTTCCCATGATGAGACATTTTAGCCTCATTACAAGAAGATTTTGCTCTTCTCAAACCATCCCATATTTCTTTTTGACATTTGGAATTATGTCTGTGCTGCTTATATCTTTTTAAATATTCTGGAATTTTTGATATTTTGTTGTAACTGTTGCCAAATTTATAAATGTTAGATAACAAGTGTCCTTAAAAAGTGTTTTCCAATAATTGCGCCTAAAGAAATACAATTGTCATCAAACTAATTTGCATAAAACAGTACCATAAATCATCCTCATCCTGCAGGAAACTGTAAACCTTGAATTAGAATCAAATCAACAATTTGCATTCTTGCAATGTAGAAATCAGTTCATTTTTTAACCACAGGAATTAAAGACTGCTTGGAATAATTGTTTGATATAATTCTCTATCCCCAAAAAAATTGCAAAAAAAAAAAAGTGTTTTTCAAATGCCATATCTTTGTCTCTCACAATATGTTCATAAAAAATCCTGGAGACAGAAAACCAAAACAAGACAAAACAAAACAAAGATATACATCAGCTGAAGCTATGCATCAATACAGCATACTGCTTCCAGTGCCCAGCCCTACCTCATTTCTACTTTTTCTACCTCTAGTTATTACTTTTAAAAATGTATTCCATTTGACTGTATGTGTGTATTTTCAGTTTTCCACTAATTGTGACTCAAGATAGACTGCAGTCCATTTTGTTTTTTAGCCACACTCATGGAAAAAATGTTTCTCTCTGACTCATACATAGACACAAAAACAGATCAATTTTAAGCAACATTACTTCTTAATGAAGCATACAAAATGCAAATAGTCTCATTTTTAAAATGTGTGTGTTAAATTTTATTTCTCCACTATTTCCAAAATCTAACCCTAAGAAAAGAGTAAAATTCAGAATATTTAAATATTTTATATACACCCTTTACCTTTCTTCCAGTAATTAAACTTATTTTCAAGAAATTTAAGTTCAATTTTAAGTAACTAGCATTCAGTACATGTTAAATCTTAGCAGTTGACATATGTCAGTTATAACACGTGCTCATACAAAAAAGTTTCATGAATCAATAATGAGGATTTCTATTTTTATTTTTACTAAAAAATTTAAAATCCTGAGGTTGCTCCTGAATGTTTGAGGTGATTATAACAATTTTGCTTTGTAAATGCAGTTACAGGTATTTTTGCAGTTTTTGCATTATGATAATAATTTAAAAACTTATTTTAAAAGCTGCTTAAAAGTTAACTTGCGGCAGGTGCATAATGAAGCCTATAATTAGGCCTCCTTCAGAGGAGGTTTGATTGTGAAAATACAGAGAAGCATTTCCTGAGACAAAAGTTCCTGCTAAAATGAAATTTTGGTTTTTAACTTTAGTTTGCTAATGGTTCTTGAAATGTGAGAGAAAAAAAAATCTCTCAGAAATATTTACAAAACAAATGCGTAATTATTTATTTTATTGAGAATATGGAAGACATTTTCATCCCATGTGTTTGGGAAGTGAAATCCTGTAGTCTGGTGCCAAAAATAATACTATAAAAAATATAAGAATTATTCTCAACAATCCCAGTGCATAATTTCTGGTTTATCCCATTGTTCTGTAACCTGGTAAATCGAATTATTTCTGTCACAGGGTACTTTTGGAGTTGCTTCGCCCAACCAGAAACCTCTGTGGCTGGTGGTGCCTCTGCCTGAGTCTTGATCGCACCTGCAGAGCTTTTTCTCCCCGCTGGGACCAACAGGTTGCACTTGGCTCGCACCAACAGCCTGACTTCCGTACCTGCTGAGGGTGAGCTAGAGGCGGGGCTACAAGGAGTGTGTAAGCAATCAAGTGTGAGTTCCAGCTATTGCGCAAAGCAAGGCACTCTGGCTGTGTTAGTGCAGCGAGCAGTTTCAGATACCTACACAGGAGCTGGTGTTGTACAAGGTTGCAGCTGGACCAGGTGTACAGCAAGCAATTTCTGCTGCAGGTGACTGGGTCTGAATGAGGGGAACATGGGGAACGTGGAGGCACATAAAATAGCTGGAGATGTTAGCAACTGCAGAACGCTAAGGGTTGGCAGGGAGTGCTACAGCTCTCTCATTCCTACTGCCAGCATCTCAGCACTACAGGAGGGATTTCAGCTTTTGTAGTCTTGCCCCCTTGCTCCCACATAGAGCTTCCTGGCTGTCTCGGCCCTGCCTCCACTTCTCATCACATGGGGTGGCCACTGAGGGCTACGGTGTTGACAGCTCTGGCTTGGGGAATCCTGAGGTCTGGGCCCCCAGAAGGGTTGCCGCTCCTCACTTTCACAGCCCGATAAATGGGAGTGTGTGAATGGGAGTGTGGCGAGGTGGCCAGGAATATGTACAGCCCTTTTGAGTCCTGCCCACAACTCAGTAAGAAGGTGAGGAAGGTGTTACAGCCTTTTTAGCTTCCGCCATTCAATAGGGCCCAAGCTCTTATCCACATCCAGAAAGAATGAGGTTACACCAACAACTGGAGGGTGAACAAAGCAGAAGACTTTTACCCAGTGACAGAACAGCTCTCAGCAGAGAGGAGACCGAAGGTAGGGAGCCCCTACCCGCTGCGGGGGTTGTCCCTATGTGCGTCTGAGTCTGCATGTGTCTGGGGGTTTTTATGGACTCAGAATGGAGGAAGTACATGATCATTGGTCCATGGGCAGGAGGAAGTGTGTGCTGATTGTTCCATGAGTGGGCCTGGAAATAACATTATATGACTGGCTAAAACAGGCATCAGAAATGTTGCCACTTGTGGTTGTACTTTTTTCTGTTGGAATACAGGAGACGCATACTGAATGTTTCATGAGATTAAATGCATATTAATTTTCTAGATGTTACCTTTTGTCAGAACTCAGAGTTATGAATGGCCCTTGACATACTGATGCTTTCTGACTGAGCTCTTCTCTACCCTGAATACCAGAGACCCAACTAATTAGGCAGGAATATCATTGCCCCTCCTCAGCCTGAAGAAGTTTACAGAAGATGGATATTCATTCCTCTGCAAGTCTTAGGATTGAGTTCTCATAAAAAAGCAAGGGGGGAAATGTCAGAGGCATTTGAACCAGTGCAACTCCATCTTGAATATG